ATTAATAACGTCTCAGATTATGTTGATTGAGTTAAGCAAAGCCTGAGTAAGAAACAACCTTATTTCACTTATGTTTGTCTAAGATGTTAATAAAGACGAAGAAATTCATGTTTTTTCTGATACGAATCACAATATCAAATTGACTCGTTTATTCAATACAATATGATATAACTAATTTTATTTAGTCGATGATCCGTTTGACAAAATAAAAGTGTGAGGGTATTTCGTACACGGGTTGGTAATCTCCCATTAAGAAAAGTACACAATGTTTTACAACTGACAGATTAGTTCGGAATCCTATCAATTATCAGGCATCCTTTAAGATCATTTATCATTATGACATGATTTAATTGTGTCTACAGGCTCTCTGTCGCTTGTAACTAATGTCACAATTTGAAAAGAGTATTGCTAAAATTTATGAAATAAATGTTTGAATACATAAGCTCGAGTGCGAATATAGGAAATACCAAAATGTGAAGAAAAAAAAATAGAAAAAGAAAAAAAGTTACGATGAAACGACTTCCCAAAGTGCCAAGCGATGATGGTGCAATACACAGCCGGAGTGATCACCTAATATTGAACCCCCAATACACACTGCACAAACTGGCAGACACTCATGTACAGTTTAGCCAAAGACCGTAAGACAATACAACTATCAATTATCATTAGAATGGTCCTGACAGCAAAAATGTAATAATCCAATAGATCATTCATTCGTAAGTGGAAGCCCGGACATGAGACCCAAAGGGAATCTAAATGTTTTGTAACTGGTTATCATCGAAAGATTTGTCTTTATGGGGAGCATGCTATTTTTTATAAAAACACTAAGAAAACATCACCAATTATTTTTAACTCATTTTTCGTTTTGCCAAAGAACTCTGAGGGTGTTAATAAGATCAAGATGTATTGTTTGGGCCTATTTAATATATTTTGATAAAAATCATTGTTTCAATTTATTGTCTGGCGTGGGAGAACAGTATCAAATGTGTTACACGTTAAGATTCCCAATATATCTTTTACAACTACAACGAAACCTGCACAGTGGAACACCTCTGTTAGTGGAACACTTTTCAGAGTCCTAAGACCAATTGTTAAATGAAGCTTTACACCTCCAGATGGAACACTTTTTAGAGGTACCAAAGGTGTTCCACTTAGACAGGTTTTACTGTACACGTCAAAGGGTAGAACGTGTTGATATGGGAAAGGGATTTTACACGTTCTCTCATTTAACGTGTAGTTGTAAAAGATATGTTAGGAAGTTAATGTATTTTACATTTGCTCCCCCACAGCGGACAAAAAATTTAAACATTATGTTTATCAAAATTATATTAGGTCACCATATAAATCAATAGATATTAGGACCAAAATTTGATAGAACCACCTACCCTTTTACACTGGTGATAATATTGTAAAATAATGCATTGATTTAAATTACACATACATTGCATATCACTTAAAATAAACTAGCTAGTAAACTGAACATATTCATATTCCCGCGTGTGGAGTGCTACTTTTGATCAATTAATTTTCATACGAGCATTCTCAAAATCGACCAAAATGTTGTCATCATTTTGAGCTTCAAATGGATAAGAGTCAGACTACATGGTGTTCATTGATTTTGATGTTATTCTGTTTTATCATGCAAATGTATGTATGAACTTTCCAAGAGTTTAGAGAGATAGTACTCAATTTCTTCCACATCAAAGACTAATGCTACCTATTACATGTTACACAAATACCCTTGAGGACACATCCTAGTTTCTGGTAATTCGATTTCAATTATTTCAAGTAGATTTAAAGATCTATGGATGGAAAAGAGTATCTTCGTTTTAACAGTACAATTCACAAATTATTTATCAATATCGAAACAAGTATGAGGTACCTATACATGCATGTCTTCATACAACTCCGATGTGAATTGTAGTGAAAAAATGCTGGCCACCATGATGGTGAAACTGAGCAAGGCTAGCTGTAGTTGTAATTATCCAGGTCACTGATTACTATACTGAATCGAAACTGAATCATCAATTTCAAAATCAATTTAAATTTTCATGTTCTTCATTCTGTCAATGTCATAATATCCTTAACTAAAATGAATATATTACACAATATGTTTTATATAATCCCAGAATTGGAATTAATAATGTATTTAACCTTTATAGTACCGTTTCCCTCTAATTGATTACAAAAACTGTATTCAGGACAACCTATTTAAATTAAAGCTAAGTTTGACTGGTATGTAGTGAATAATAAATAATAAATCCAGGATAAATGGTTTGATGAAACATTGACGTTACACTACTCGTAAATATGTGATCTATAGCAAACTAATGCGTACTATTACAACCTCTATAAATCAAAAATTCCCCAGAAACTTGCACTTTTGACCTGGAAAGCTATGTTCCAGTCGCACTTGAATATTCAGAAACTTCAAAAAGGTCTCGAACCAGAACTACCGAGTAATGGATCATCTTAGCTCTCACCCTTTCCCGTTAAAGAGTTTCTTTTGAATCAAATCAGGAATAACATACACCATCCCAAAATACATTGCAGTGGAATTAAGAACAAACGAATAGGAGAAAGGACTTGACACAATCACTGAATCAAATCTGAACAACTTGACATTTGTTGATCACGCATTGAAGAAGAAACTAGATAAAGACGTAATTAATCAAGCCATTGTTTAGTGCTCACTTGTATATTATTATCAATTTACTCTATTATTAGTTGGGCACCAGGTGCTGGCTCGGAAGATAACACCCAACCATAATTGATTGCTTTAATATGTCACAAACGTCCTCTAGCGAATGGATCAATTGAAAGGTGTATATTTCTAAAATGGAAATTACATTCCCTGCCTGTCCAAATATTATTCCGATCTCCATGATACAGTCGTGACAGTTCTATCAGTTCCTCGATATTAAGATACTTTGAAGAGCAGAGTGGTCTGAGGTGCAGAACAGCTTAACTTTTGATTTATATTATTTTGATTACTGATTCGATTTAAAAACTACAACCCAGGGACCACAAATGCTCAACTACATCACAACATTTTACTCAATGTTTCATTTACGTAATTCTAAGACAACAATGCATTTGAAGACTTCTTCAAGTCCGAAAAGATTTACTTTGAGACCAAAACTTTTCTAAGACTTCTACATAAATAACACAGATTTAATACGATTTATCATGACATTTTCTTAGTCGGGTAATCTATAATTTAGAACGATATAGCTATTTGTAACCATTTCACGAAGTTTATCACTCCTTTGAGACTAAGTGTTTTGTAACTCATTCAATCGCTCCAAAGAAGAATAATTGTTCACCTTATGATAACAGGCTCATACTGCTACTGCTTAAAATATGCCACCAAGAGGCCCCAGTGTACATGTAACCAATTTGCAATTCATCAATTATTCAGCCTCATTTCAGATCAATGACATTTATCAAAAAGAATCAAGAATGGACGATCTTGCTCAGGTACTCATATGTTATTAGCAGCTATACCAGATTAGCGTGTTTGACAAAGTTGATCAGGTGATCAAGAAATTGATCCTTACACAGAACACGATGATAAATTACATTATCTGTCGACTTGATTTGTACCTTCATCACGAACTGCCCTTTCCTGCCATTTAAAGAAGATAAACTACCTTACTGTATCTTTTAAACCTAACGGTATCTGAGTTGGTCACCTCTGGAATGAGCATGCGATTGAGGGGGTGACCACTAATACATATATGTTGTATTAGGATACTCATAATAGTATTCACAATATCCAATGGAAGGCACTCTTATTGACTTATAATCAACAATTTATGTTGTTTCGTCCAATATCTACTGATCCTGAAGGCGTTTGCTTATCTTATATTAATATTCAAACGTACACTTTCATTTACACACACAAACACACCGGTATATATAATAGTATGGCATCTTCACAGGTGCTTCTGCGGCTAGGGAGAGTGGGTCAGCCTGTTCATCTATAGTTTAATTGCATTAGATCTAAATATCTATTGTTTTATCAAATGTAGTTTACATCCTTTCCATTGTGGGGAAATGATGACGAATTGTTGCAGACATAAACCTGATTGATTGATATCATTTTCCCCATTGATAGCTATAGTCTGTAAAGACATAATGAGTTCTCACATTATAAATACCGTTCAAGTTGACTTTTTACTTTTATTGGCAATAACTGTAGGATTTTATATTAAACTCTTTTTTCCTGGTATAATACATAAGTGTTATGTGGTGGGAGTTTTTCAATACGGGGTTTATTCAGAGGGAAGTATCAGTATTTCCTAAGGAAGTATTCCTTTAAACCTACTTTCAAGTATATGTGGACCGAGATACCCATCATCATCAGTATGGTTCACAATTGAGATTCAGAGCGAAGGCAGATTAGGTCTGATCCTGCTAATCCACCTTGTGAAGGCCCTGGACACCGTAAAATAAAATGTCATTGTCTCCAATTAGTTTATTGCCTAACAGTATTAACATTGTGAACTATAAATGCTTTCTTAAAGTATTGACGGACACGATGACATGTGCACATTTTAAAAATGATACGGAATCATTGAATGTTGACAAAAATTGACAAAACTTGCAGCTAGATATAAAATAGATGATGAGAGTCATTAGGAACTCATCAAGGCTTGATGGTAGCTGCGCCTAAAACCCAATTGTCTATTTGGATTATGTTTTCAAGAGTGCTTTTACAAGACACAAAAAAGCTTACATTTTAAATTAATTTGTGGATGATTGAGGGACTAAAAGGTTACAAATCCTCCCGTATAAAAACAAATGAAGAGAAAACGATCCATCGAAAGTTTACAGTCTGTAAACATTGAGAGGGTGAATTATTCAAAGGATGCACAATATCGCGCCTTTTGAACACAATGGTAATTAACACCAACGAGTGTTCAATTTGCTATGGTTACCTTTTAAGAGCACATTGCATTATTACAAGTATTTCAAAATATATAGAACATTTACCATACATACATGTAAGTTTAAATGTTCCCAATGTTCAAATCTGTCCATACCCATTCTGAGAAATGGGCAATTCACAAACACGTGATCTGAATCTGTTAACGTTTTCAAAAAGTGAACGTAAGGGATATTTAATGTGGTAAGGTAGTGCTCTACGTGACAGAAAGCTGAAGAATGTGAGCTCACTTATTTTGCAATATGGATTAATGAATATATTCATTTTTAATTCACCTGAGTTTATTGTTCAGTGGATTAACATTACATAGTATAGCATCTAATCTTTGAAATCTAAACATCATTGTCATCTGGATACAATGACTTTACTTTGAACTTCATTAAGAACTTCAAATTAAACTGTGTGTGAGAGTTCCTATCCACTCTCCAACAAGGGTCTCTATTGTGCGTTAAATCAAGTTCAATATTTGTCTCAGTTTCTCGAATGTGAACTGTACCATGGGTGGCATCTTTCAGAGTTATCCAGGCCTCATTTACCAAAACGCCTAGAATAAAAATATATTAAGTCATGGACGGATCATTTCAAGCATGTATGGTCAATTTGGCCATCATGGCTTATATATGAATGGCTTGATCCCAAGCAATATCTGTTACATTGTTTTTCAATTATAAGACCTAAGATTAACATTTTATTATATTATGCTATATCATATTATGGTAAATGACAACTGAATGCAAACTGAGTTCTACTAAAATTATGAAAATCAATCAGTAGGATATTTCGAAGTCGCCATAAGTCTCCATGTCTATTGTGAAGAAGGGATGATAGAGGAGTAAATGTATTTACCCATCATTCCACCTGCAGTATTTGGTATATTCTCTCGAATATCATAGTTCAGGAATTTGCCATTATTGCGCACATCAATTGTCAAGTGTGGCTGACGGAATGTAATCATACACTTTTCCTTTTGAGTTTTGATGACAGCGCCACCTATGTGATGTTCACAATGTTCCCATTTATGATGCTGATAGCCATTAAATGCAATTGCTTCTGGTGATAGCATTATTGAGTAACTGCCTGAAGTTATTGCAATCATGTCTAACACTTTAGATATACCATTATCAAGAAGTTTAAACCTCACACGAATATCTGAAAATGCAAAGCAAAGATTCTACCATTTGTATATACAATCTAAGCGAGAAACAATACCAATTTGTTTAGAATCTGAAACTTCATTACATGATAGTATTAAACAATAAACAATATTTTCTACCTAAAGTGCCATCTGTGTACACATTTGAGATGGTACCATGTTTACCAAAGAAATTGAAACACAGGGGTAGCTTCGATCCTCGTATAGGTAACGTTACATGTGGGTCACCTACAAATTAAATAAACAACCCAGCAATTAATATTGTACAATGCAAGTGTAAATATATCTGTACATATGATGACTTTTAATCATATCCAGAAAATAAAATCAATAGCACACATATCCGTAAAATTAAAATAAATTGATCAAATAATCATTCCTTCAAAGTGATAAGAAAAGATAAAATTCTTGATTACATTTAATGTAATTGTATATCAATCCCTCAAAAGATAGTGAAATTGAAGTATATATAATCTTCAAAAATAAATCATTTTCTCATAATATGAAGAAGCCAAAGATTTTTTCTCCTGATATACAGCAGTTCACAGAAAAATATTTTCTAAGAAAATCCAATCGTTGAGTATGCAGAACATCACAAAAATAACCTCACCACACAGCCTGATGGTTGACTGTTCACTCGACAAACAAAATAGTCCTTTCTTTGATGAGATACAATGGTCATCTATCCCACATTGGGAACAGTGTCCATCAACACAGAAAGGAAAGTCAGTATGGGCAGCTTCACAATCAGAGTCTAGCGTGTTGTTGTCCCCAGAACATATGGTTAATTCTGAAAAGTTTAAATAAAAATGTATTTTCTGTGGTGTGGGGGTAATTTTATTGTGACAGCACTACCTCATATTAGTGACCAACTGAGGTTCAAAACCTGTGAGTATTCATCTCTGGAAAACAAAGAAAGACCTAAATCCAAACTAGGACAGTTGAGCAAGGTGTTTAATTGTAAATGTTTTTCCTACACAATTGGAAGTCACTAGTCAGTATTTTCTAGTATCATTTTCACTAAAAACATTTGGTCAAAAACATTTAGCAATATAGAAGATATATTACATATAACATATTCTTTTAAGTTGAGACAAGCAGTTATTATTCATATGAATAAATTATATTCACAGATTTCTTTCATGTCTTTAATATGCCAGTCATGCCATCTTTATGTTATAGCTGTTCTACCTGATACAGCTGGTGTAGTCGTCAGTACAGTTGTTGTAATAGTTGGTACAGTTGTTGTAGTGGCTGGTACAGTTGTTGAAGTAGTTGGTACAGTTGTTGTAGTTGTTGGTACAGTTGTGGTGGTGGTTGGTACAGTTGTTGTAGTGGCTGGTAAAGTTGTTGAAGTAGTTGGTACAGTTGTTGTAGTTGTTGGTACAGTTGTCGAAGTAGTTGGTACAGTTGTTAAAGTAGTTGGTACAGTTGTTGAAGTAGTTGGTACAGTTGTTGTAGTGGATGGTACATTAGTTGGTGTAGTTGTAGAAGTTGGTACAGTTGTTGTAGTAGATGTAGTGACTAAACACTCTAACTTAATTTCAGCGTCAGCTTCATACTGGAACCCACTGTTCACCTCCCAAGGTGTAAGGGCATCATACACTTTCACTAAGAAATTTCGGTTGCGTAAATACCCCCATAGATCAGTTAGCTCAGGTGAGAGCAACCAGGTATTCGTTGCCTCAGGGCTGTAGTGCATCAGATAGAAAAAACTGGCATTATTTGGTGATGGATGACTGTATACTGGTCGATTATTCAATCGTTTACTCTCAAGGCTATATACACCATTCAACTCCCTTGCAGTCTCAAGATCATTTTCATCATTTGAGGATGCATGAATTCCACTTAATATCAAGGTTTCACATAAATCTTCTTCAAACACTGAAATGAACAATCAGTGAAATCAATTAAATAAGGTCAAGAAGTTATATATAAATAGTACTATGTTAATATCAAATAAAAAACATCTTGCAGCATTTCAATTAATTATATAATTGGTATATGTCCAATTGGTGCATCTATGTGAATTACCTGGTCTTTTATAGCACTTAAAATCGAATCCCTCAATTTGGACATATTCTTCTATGGATGTACGGTAAATATCTAAAGGATGACAGATGTCATCAGGTTTCAATGCTGCATCAAGAAGTCGAAAGTCATGAGCTGAGTCACCAACATTATTTCCAACGATCCATTGGTTGTTGTAAAAGTACAGATACTTCAAGCTTGACTCATGTTGATATGTAAACCTAGGAAGTAAAACATTATGTATTAAGTATGTCAGGAGGCAAGACTAAATCTGACGCCATAGAGAATATCCTTTAACTGCCAGCAAGTTCACACAATTATTGTGAATTATTGGTATTGAATACCTTGCAAGCCCTTCCCGCCCATAACCTTATTTAAATGAAAAATTACATAGGAGAAATTCCCAAAAACAGAAAACAAGATATACGTTGGAGAAATCCCCAAAAAACATTCATTTCTGATTTCTCCACCCCTGTACATGGAAGCACATTCACCACATATATATTAATTGAAAAAATATGAATTGTTGTAGCTACCTCTTATTGTAAATCTGATTCTGCTTTTTGTAAATACCAAATGACTGTCGTTTTGCCATGTTTCCAAAATAATTGTCGCCACCAATAAACACTTTGTTACAGCCATTTTTCTCTTCCTCTAAAAGTGTATTTCTTCCAGATTAATACCTATCGATTCAATATTAAACAGATGTTTTTTCAAAATATTCTTCATTTTGAACATGTTATGCTAGCCCTTCGGGCTTCGTGGAATATCACTTGTGAAAGATGTACAGGTATTCACCTCAATAGAGTGAAATATTTGTTCAATATCCTGAAATTCAATAGTATCACTTACCTGTGACACATTTCACATTGATATCAGTATCATCGCTAAAACTAAAGGTGCCATCTATGTTCATATATTCTTGCCAAATGCCTTGGACATTGTTGAGTGTGAACGATGGGCTCTCTATACGGACATTACCTTCACTGAATGTACCAAAATTGTCAGCAGTTGCAATCCAGTATTCTGACCCATCAGAGTCAATAATGTACCTTGAAGGAATGTAAAATAAAGTACTATATTTTGATCCATTTGTATATATTACGTGACCATTTTCAGGAAACAAACGGTTCCAAGCTATTTCTATGGATGTTCCTCTTTTCAATTTCATCATTTTATTTAAATTGATTAAAATGAAATATTTTTATACAATGTAAATGTTTCAGAACTTTTCTTCAGTTTTGACTTGGTGGGTGCCACAGCGTGACCAGGCTGTCAACAGTTATTTTTCTAAATTGAGATATATATAAATTGGATGTACTAAAGTGAAGCTATAATGGAAATGAGGGGAATTAACTTTTTAAAAAGATTGATTTTCCGTGAACAAACTGCATTTTAAAAAGCTTACTTCAGTGAAGCATCACCTTCTGTAAAAGTATACTGTGGACGTCCATGTTTTAAATCTGGAGCAAGAGCATAAATACCCATCATACCAGAAAACTCTGTCTTGCCGCAATTTAGAATCACCTCTAAACATGGCACCTCTTTACCTAAGTGTGATAAATAAAGACTGGTGTGAATTATATGAAATATATGAACCAATTCATTTTTATGATGAATTACTATGTAGAATATTTATATTTTGGTGAATTGATATTTACCATAGAAACAGCTGATGTCCAGATAAGGGACTGATTGGTTGTTCATATCAAGCCATTTAGCACGGTTGTCATATGGTGTGATAGCATTATCAAGAGTAGCAGTAAAATTCACATTTTCTCCATCAAGACTTATTTTCCAGCTTCCACTTTCTTCGTCCACATATATATTCTCCTTGCGATTAAAACAAGTGATATAATCAATCTGTTTTTCCATCAAAGCATAATTAAGTTCTCAACTAGTTCTCAATCTATGGGCGAGTTCATTTTAGGTCTTGATTATATTGTATATGAAAAGTTACACTACCTGAGTACCATTTCGTGAATATACAGGGTAACGATTAGTCACGGATATCTTCTCAAATACAGGAGTTTCTTTTAGAGTTAGAGTACCACCCTGCATTCCAGTACTGAGCCAAATGTTATCACAATAGTCCACTAAAATATTTCATGCCATACAATATAAAAGTTACTTCTAAAACTTTATTGATAAATTATATGAGATATAAGTGAAACATTAGTTGCCAAAAGTACAAGGATATGCATTCAATGTATATATGGGGATAAAGACCCCATCCTGTCAGCTAAAAAATGAAATCTTACCTAAATAGGGATCTTTGAAGCAGAAATATACATCCTTGACTGTATTATCGAAACAGCAGTTGAGAGCTTCACATTGGATATCGGTTATACCAGAAAAACTCCCAGGACAGCCCTCTCTTTTTTGAGGATCAACAACACAAGATAATTCTTAAAGAAAAGAAATGTACTATGCAGTGCAATTCTATACGAAACAGATTAACACTTGGTATAAAAAAGTACAGGGTGACCGGAAAAAAAGGAGACCATTGAAATAGGCAATATCTCCTAAAATAGACTAGTGACATCAATGAAATTTTGCATACATCAGGACAGTTCTATGGAAATTTGTTCCTGAAAGTGTCAATACAAGCAGTCAACTGGTTCAGGAGCTATGATCATTTACATAACATGCTCCAAATAGGCGCAATTGAGACCAACGCAGAGCTGGATACATTTGGCAAATACCCTTACATATTCCGACCTTGTTATGGCATTACATTTAGCATTTATTGCCACCTTTAGGTCAGCAATTGTCTCAGGATTGTTTTGGTACACATTGTCTTTCAAATTGCCCCACAAAAAGAAATCAGGTGGATTCAAATTTGAGGTGTATGGAGACGAAGCTTATCTGACCTATGGCTTCTGACTCAGTGGTCCCACTCAGTTACAGTATCATCCTAAGGAGGTTTTGGGCAGCCCTTGGTTTTCATATGGGATTTAATTGTGCCATATAGTGGTTTTAGTAACATGGCACTATGCCCAATACCTAAAGTGACTCTTAAGATTTGGTAAATCAGCACTTTGGCAACAGGATGATGAACCACATGTCAGATAACCCTTCATTGCCATTACAGCCTAGACTTGAATCCTGCTGATTTCTTTTTGTATGGATATTTGAAAGACAATCTATACCAAAACAATCCTCAGACTATTGTTGACCTAAAGAAGGCAATCACTGCTATATGTAATGCCATAATAATGCCATAGAGGGCAGAACATGTAAGGGTAGTTTGCCATATGAATCCAACTCTGCGTTGGTCTCAATTGTGCCTATTTGGAGCATGTTATGTAAATGATCATAGCTCCTGAACCAGTTGAATGCTTGTATTGAAACCTTCAGTAACAAATTTCCATATAACTGTTCCAGTGTATGCAAAATTTCATTGATGGCACTTGTCTAGTTTAGGAGAAATTGATTACTTCAATGGTCTCCTTTTTTTCCGGTCACCCTGTATATTAAAACAGCAATAAAAATAATGATAAAAATATAATATTTTTCTCTATTGAGTGATAAATTTACCTTTCGTTCCACTCTCTACACATTTGCTGCTCATTGAAGGCTCTTTCATTTCAGCACTAGTGGTGAACCATGATTCCAAGTCATCTGTCCACGCCTCTGGTGATTCTAGAGATCCTGAAGAGCAATAATGAATGCCATAGACTAATAAAAATAACAAAAATAGTAACAAAGCATGTTTATTTCACAACAGTGAATGTATATATAAATAAGTTTGACTTTAAGTCACCTATTTCTTTAGATATATAGAGATGCTGATCCTCTTGAAACATATACAATGTTAGGTACTGATGGCGCCACACAGGCATGCCCTTGTAAGAGTACCCTAACCTCTCGTATCGTCCCACAAGGTGTTCCAGTTGTGACACATCAACATTAATCTCATAGGTCCAGCATGCATTAACTATAAAAAAAGAAAATGGTAAATTTGATCATTTCGTCAGTAAATATTTAGCACAAAGAGCATTACAAAATACATGTACTAAAAGCAGGAACATTGAAAAGCAGATAAAGAATTAGGAATAAACAAATCCCCAATGCCAGAAACTATGACTTAATGTTAAGCAGACATGTGGGTGTATGAACAATATCACTGAAATGACAGAGATTTTTCAAACTTGCCGAAGCATTTTGTGCAATGAAATTGAAATTCAAAAGATAAAATACATTTGAAAAAATGATTTTAGAAGAAAAGATTGGCCATGTCTAGTTTTGAATTTTGGATGAAATATCTTGGGCTCTAATGTTTTTAGCAGTTAAAGAGAAGTTTATAATTGTATTTAAGCTTGTCTGAAAAAGAAATGAATAAAAATATTTGGTCGAGTTGGTTCAGAAAAATCATACGGTTGTGGAAGGTACCCACTTGATTTTATGATGATTCACTCTAACATACCACTTTGATTCAAGTATTCTTTTCTATAGTCTCTATCACTACAATGTTGCTCTGTGTTTCCACAGTAACCAATAGTATTGCAACATGGTGATTCACCATGAATTGTACATTCCATATTTTGGAAGTAGTGTCCACATCTCCCATCACTTGTCACCTTAGTTGGATCTTGTTCTGAAAATCAAAACATGTATAGTATTGTTTTATCATTTGTCATAATGTGTTGTAATGATTTAAGTATGAATGGAAGGGATAATCCTTGTAATCCAGAATGTTATCTTGAATTTGAAATGTTTCTTATCTACATGTATTTTGTTGGACTTACAGTCTCATTTTCAACAATGCCCTGCACATTAAGTACACCAAAAGCTATGCCATACTTAAATAAACAAACAGAAAAGTGAACTGTATTAAGAAGAACTGAAAAATCAGTTCAATCATTGTAAATGTTTTCAGAGAAAAATCATTACCATGTTTTATCGTCCATGCCCGAATCTCAAATCTAGGAGACAGTTCCACATTGTTCTCAGCACTTGTCTCAAAGAGTACCAAGATATTATTGCCCATGGACTTAAAATACTCAGAAGGAAGTTCCTCGCAACAGAATCTAGTAACGAATAAATTTAATGCACTTTAATAATGTAATACAAATTATGAATCCCCCATAAGAAATGATTTTATTGCGAAAATGTATTTCAAATGGTTTTCTAGTACAAAAAAGGATTAAAAATATAAAATATCAGTCGGCCTATTTTTAGGAGTCATTTTAGGCAGTGATCTCCCCATGTCACTTTTACCGGGGGCTCCCCCTACTTGAAACCAAAGGCCCCCCAGTTGGCACCCAGTTGGAATCTGCACTTCAACTTCTGATTTGAAAAATGAGTGAAGTAAGCACCTACACTGAGATATGGTTAGCGTAGCGAGTGCTGATTTTTTCAGACTTGAAATCTTGCACCCAGTTGAAAATGTTTTTTGGGGAGAACACTGTTAGGGTATACAAAAAATGATTAATTTGGATAAGGTAATCTTTCCTAGGTTTACATGAATACATTTAAAGCCCCTTTTATTTTGAAAAGAAAGCATAATAGAGAGTGACTTAAACTAACCTTTGTCCTAATGAGTCAATACCATTGGTTCTCAACTCTACCCAACCATATGGGCATGCATCATAACCTTCAGGGTCACATGGTAGACCAAGTCCTGAACCGATGAATTCCAGTCCAATCCACATTCCCGCAGGTGCCTTTTTAGATTGTATTATTTTTGCATGTTTACTCTCGAAAAATTATTTTTATACCGAAAGGATAACGCCTGTAGTACTCTTTGTAATGAACAGCTGTCCCAAATTTTAAACTGTATTGACAGACAGATATGATGCACCATCTTTTTTTGAGATAGATGGATGAATGAACAGACAGATGAATGATCATTTTACATGTTTTAAGGGATAAGACAAGATGACAGTGGAAAAAAGACTGGATCAACTCATTTTCCAAAAATCTCTGATAAAGTATGATGCACAATCATACTGCAACAGAGATCTTTCAAAATGAACAACGAACAAAATCTTTATGAAAAAACACATAAATACCAGAAATACCATTTAGACATGAATAAGGTGAATATTTCATTTCTGTTAACAATATCTTTTTATAGCCAACTAACATGTTTATAATCTATGAGTATATTTCTGTATCATTCCGATCTATGTAGTACATGCATGGATGTGCAAATAGTGGGGAACTGAAATTTGCAATTAAAGTATTGCTAAACGATATATTTGGAAGTAAATTTTCATTGAGGTTTGTAATTCTTGTCTACTTAGCTATGTTCTGGCGATTGATTGATTTAATATTGTCAAATTATCTCTTTTGTTTAACCAGGTTTCTCAATAGGTTGAAACATTTGGTATCTATGAAGGTGCATGTATTAATTTTTACAATTTCATCTTTAATTGGCCTTAACGGTAAAGGTCATACATTAAGGTGAATCAAAATTATTACTAATAACACCTCCATCATGCAAAATAATTATGTTCCACATGCTATGATTTTGTAATTGAAAATGTCAGCTTACTTGTAAGTAATATGCTATTCTATCCCCAGGAGTGGCTTGCCCAAAACTTATTAGAAATGCATCTGAAGTCAAGTTAACAGCAGTTGCACCTGAAATACACACCCTCGAATACATATACAATACTTCAAGGTATTCAGTTGACCTGTGCAATTTTCACAAGTGATATTCCATTAAGTCCAATGCCTTTAATACAATAAGGAAAATATAATAAATACAGTAAAACCTGTATATCTGAACACCTGGCTAATCTGAACACCTTCCAATTTGAACACTTTTTTTCGGTCCCATTTTTTCCTCCCATTGACTCCCATGTTAAAAAAACCTTGAAATCTGAACACCTCCTAATTTGAACAGTGAACAACCAGATTTGAAAAAGTGACCTGTCTAAGCTGAACATTTTTATCAGAAATCAAATGTCTGGACATTTCAATTAAAGCCACATATTGAGTCAATGTTATAGTTGTTATTTATCTTTACATATATACAAATGCAATCAAAGAACCAATTGTCCTAATTAACTTATTTAGTCTCAGTGACATCCCTAATTTGTGGAAAACAACAGGATGTTTTGGAAAGGTGTGAATACAGGAGTTAATTGGTTTATCCTATTAGAAAAGAACTGGATGTTTTATTTTTGGATTAAGAGAAAGGTGTGAATCAAGAAGATAATTGATTTATCATTATTGGAAATTACCTGGATGTTTTTGGTTTGGATTAAGAGAAAGGTGAGAGTCTGGGAGATAATTGGTTTATCCTTATTGTAAATTAACTGGATGTTTTTGATTTGGATTATGAACAGGGCTTAAATGTTTTATATCCCATGGGTCTGTTATGATAGCTAAGATTCAATCAGTAAATGTTTTATAATCACAAAAACAACACAGACGCCATTTGCAGACACTATTATATCATGAGAAGGAGAAAAAATCCAACTTCGTAATATTTGCATACATCTGAAATCCTGAATGCCTTTGATATTTTGAAGGATTATACATCATCTCGAATGAACACTCATGAAAAATTATTTTTACTTGAAGAGGATATCTACTCAAATATTGGTAATGCTAAAAGTGCCAAGAAACAAACAACAATGAAGGACTTTTTCAAGCAAAAGTAAAGCAGTGCTATATAACCATAATATGGGATAAGCCATTTGATAAGCATAGGATTTCGTACGAGACTATCATATACTCATACAGTGTATTACAAAGTTTTTGCCAAAATATAAGAGTTATTTTTACTAAAATGATGAAATTGTTCAAAATATAAATAAAACATAGCATATAGGCTATAGGCCTATTGTAGAATTAACTCATCAACAACATGTTTTGTTTTCTGACTTAGTATTAAGTGTTCAATATAGTGCACTGAACAATGAAAATCCCCCCCCCGACCAACAAAATCCTCGAAATTTGAACACCTGCCAATTTGAACGCTTTTGGCTGGTCCCATGGGTGTTCGGATTAGACAGGTTTTACTGTAGTTAATAGGGGAATGAGGCACTTACCTGAAGCTTCATTACAAATAGGTCCACCCCAGGGAAATGGACATTTACATGTAGAACAAGAGTTCTCAGGATCAAGGTAACCTCCATGTAAGCATGAAGAATGCTTTGTCTCTGCATCTTCACATTTCTCTACAATGTAAAATATATATTTGTAGTAAGATGATGAGTTTAACTACAATAATCATTACAAGACAATACACTACACAACAATATACTTCACAACACTAATACACTACACCACACACATATTTTGATAAGCCTTTTTGATTAATTTTAAAATACCTGGACATATGTATTGATTTATGGCCTTTATATCCCAGAAGTTCAAGCTCACTGACTGGCCTATAGCTGTATACATCCCATCAAGAGTTGATTCTAATGTTGGATTACTGCTGTTGACAGCATATTTCTGAAAAAGGGTATAAAAGGGTTAAAAGCAAGACTTGTGAATTTTTCAAAGAAATTTAAAAGGTCAATGTCTCATTTTAGGTCAAATGTCAATGTCGCATTTAAGGTCAAATTTGAACAACCTGGGCTATGCATCAGCTGATCTAAGAACACAGAGTTCATATATAAAGTTACCCCATGTTGAAATTGTCAATGCATAATTATATGCTGATCTTTGAACTAAACAGTGTAAACACGGTCTCCGATACTACCCAACGTAAATCGTTCCGGACTTGTTTTCCATAACCATTTGGACTCATTTCGTAGGAGAATGAGATGAGACATTCATCAGAATGGCTCAAAAAGATAATATAATTCAATCGTTTAGAAAAAAACATACACTAACTTCTACCTAAAACATTCTTTTTCATACCCACATATCTATTTTGGCGATCGTGCCTTCATAGTTCATATTTATCGGCATTAAATAACAAAAATGCCAGAAATATGCTCTAAATCTGCATTAGTGTCATTTAACTATGTTTAAACAAAAAAATCATTCTATAAGGTGGAACAATATTCACTACATTAAAGATCGTGTTAATATTTTAACTATTTGTACCTTCAAATTTCCATAAATTACCGTAATGTAAAAAGTGGAGTTAACGACGGCGAATGGTCCTTATTCTGACACGGACTTGTCTTATAATCCCTAGGTGAACGACTGCGAATTGTACACAACGTGATAAAAATAACGATTAGGAATTGTCTTGTAATGGTATTTATACGTTCCGTTGCTTGATGAATTGTCTATGCTTCTGGAAAAGTTGCACTTAGTATGATTATGTTTTAGAGGAGGTTTTGTACTAAATATTCACACATTTTGTAATTTCAGTTCCCAGAAACAAGTGCCACGAATGTACTTTTAAAAGTGCAGATAAAAATATATTCTTTGAACACTTCAAGAGGGACCATCCCTCAGATTTATTATCCCATCGAACAAAGTTCGGAGAGATATAGGGAACGCCTCCGTCCGTCCGTCTGTCCGTACGTACGTACATACGTCCGTCCGGGCAATAACTCAAATACAGTTGGCCCAATTTTGTTCATATTTTGTACACATATACCCTATGGGGGTAGAAATTCTGTTCGTAAGCCGATTTTCAAAATGGCCACTCATTTAAAAATGGCGGCCATTTTAGTGCCGATTTTACAGTAATTTAGGTGCAATATGTAAAACTGTAATAGCAATATGTTTTAAAAATGAAAAAATTATATAGGACATTAATAAAGCTAGAAATGTAGATATTTAAGAAGCACATGGCAGCCATCTTGAAAAATGGCGGCCTTAACTCGTTATTTTGCGATTTTTATAAATATATAAAAAAATGTAAAGAAAATAAAAAAAAAAATTTTGCGATTTTTGCTGTAACTCGAAAAGTAGTGGAGCGATTTTGGTCATATTTGGTATGTGAATACTATAAGCATGGCACACTGTCTAATGGCACTTTTGGTAGAAGGCGGCCATTTTGAAAAATGGCGGCCTTTACTCGTTATTTTACGATTTTTGCTGTCGAAAAGTAGTGGATCGATTTTGTTCATATTTGGTATGTGAATACTATAAGCATGGCACACTGTCTAATGACACTTTTGGTAGAAGGCGGCCATTTTGAAAAATGGCCGCCATTTTAACGTTTTTTACTATAACTGGAAAAGTAGTGGAGCGATTTTGTTCATATTTAGTATGTGAATACTATAAGTATGACACACTGTCTAATGACACTTTTGGTAGAAGTCGGCCATTTTGGAAAATGGCCGCCATTTTAACTTATTTTACTATAACTCGAAAAATAGTGGAGCGATTTTGTTCATATTTGGTATGTGAGTACTATAGGCATGGCACACTGTCTAATGACACTTTTGGTAGAAGGTGGCCATTTTGAAAAATGGATGTGCTATATACTTTGTTTGTAAATATGCCAGCCATGGCTGTTCGATGGGATTTGCTATGCTTTGGCGTTGCTGTTGTCTAGTTCAGGCTTGACGTCCCTTTTCGTGATAAAGGCATATGGCGTTACAAAACACAGGATTATGGATTCCGGATGTGTGATAAATTAGGCTCAAAGCTGTCATTTGATTATGGCACCTCGATAAAGGAGGAAGAATACGTTGAACCCAGTCCTCTTCAGAAGCACATATGCGATTCACAGAGAGAACAACGTTAACCCCTGTGAAAAGAGAGCTTAGCTTTTCATATGATGAAATCGAAGATGTAATAACCTTTTCAATAACAAGTCAACATCATTAACTGGAATATTTAGGTCACATCCAAATGGTTAAATCTAAAAAATATTCTTTTGACAATTGCTTCTCATTTATACCATTTTAAATCATGATTTTCATTCACAATGTGGCTACTTTCATTATGAATCGGTAAAAATATAAACTAAGTATATGCAAATTACAGGGTGTCCGAAAGTAAAGATGCAAATACTCTAATTTTAAGAGATTTAGGATTTTCGCATAGAAATTGCTACAGATTGTAGAGGAACATTACAATGTGTCTACCAAATCTCATTGCACATAGTCTAAACCTGTAATGATTCCCTAATTCAACCTTGACAAGTATCTCTTAATACGTTTTATTAATGATGATCATTTAGAATCACTCAGACAACTTCTTCCACTGTCCTCATCCACTCTGATGGTTTGTTGGAAATCAATAAAGTTTATGGAGCTGTTCCACACTTAAAAATGGTTCATTGTGTTCTACAAGTCAGAAACGTTCCAATAACACAAGTCAGAAACGTTCCAATAACAAGTCAACATCATTAACTGGAATATTTAGGTCACATCCAAATGGTTAAATCTAAAAAATATTCTTTCGACAATTGCTTCTCATTTATACCATTTTAAATCATGATTTTCGTTCACAATGTGGCTACTTTCATTATGAATCGGTGTATTCATTGGATACAAGGCAGGCTGGTGATTATAAGGCAAAATAGGTAAAAACACTGGCAGAATCGCTCGCATCCCGAAATAACAAGACTATAGCAAACGGTTCGTACAAAAAAAGGCGTTTGCGGGTGCCTGAAGATAGGGTATATAGTATGGTAAGTTATCTAATTGTATTATATTTACATAAAGTCAAGTGAAAGCAATTTCATAACCAAATTTACAAACCTACCTCTACTCTTTTCACTAAATCAAGTCCAAATGGTTATGAAAAACAAGTCCGGAACGATTTACGTTGGGTAGTATCGGAGACCGTGTAAATATCTCTAACTGATAGTTTAGTCAAAATTAGTTGTGGACTTCAATTACAGGGTATTGTAATGAGTTTTATTTTCTTGTAAAATAAAATGTGACTTACAATGTGGAAGCCATTTAAACTTTTTCAAGAAATCTTTATGAAACTTTCAGATTTGTAGTGATGTGATATTTCAACAAAATAAGTGGTGATCATATTGAAATTTGATATTTTACTAGACCTTAGACCTTATTGCTAACCTGATGATATTTAAGGTTTGGGAAAGAAAAAAAATGAACAAACTTTAATAGCGTTACTGTGTGAAAACAAACTTGTTCTACATAAATTCTCTGATATAAATATATTTGTGCATGCCTAAATGTGATAAGTGCTGGCCAAACATTGTAAAAATGAGGTTGTCATATAGTAATTACCTTAATTGTATCTAACAAATGACTTCATTGCATGCTATATCTCATTTAAGGTTATAGATCTGTCAAATGTGAACCATATACAGTATGGAAGTTATCAAAGGAAATATGTTTTTATTAATTTATGAACTGATAAACTCAAAAGTTAATTTTAAAAAAAATCATCGAGATTTGACCTAAATTTGGACTGAAGTTACAAACATTGGATATTGTCAAATGTAAATGAATTCAAATAGAAATAATTTGAGATGAAATACTGGAAAACATGGGGTTTCAAAATAAGAGCTCAAACAACTATTCTTGAAAGAGCAAGTGTTGTATTTCTTATCAAGTTTTTGGGGTATCATATGCCATTGATATAATTTTAAAGTAATTAAATCATAGGTAATTGAGTAAAAGAAGGGTCATATTTGATTTATCATAAAAATGAAATACAGTAAAACCTGTCTAATCCGAACACCCATGGGACCAGCCAAAAGCATTCAAATTGGCAGGTGTTCAAATTTCGAGGATATTATTGGTCGGGGGGGGGATTTCCATTGTTCAGTCCACTATATTGAACACTTAATACTTAGTCAGAAAACAATACATGTTGTTGATGAGTTTATTCTACAATAGGCCTATAGCCTACATGTATATGCTATATTTTATTTACATTTTGAACAATTTCATTATTTTTGGAAAAATAACTCTTTAATTTTGGCGAAAACTTTGTAATACACTGAATACGTATATGATAGTCTTGTACAAAATCTTATGCTTATTAAATGACTTATCTCATATTATGGTTACATAACACTGCTTTACTTTAGCTTGAAAAAGTCCTTCATTGTTTTTTGTTTCTTGGCACTTTTAGCATTAGCAATATTTGAGTAGATATTGAGGCATTTTAGTGATAGGATATTACGAAGTTGAATTTTTTCTCTTTCTCGTGATATAATCTTGTCTGCAAATGTGTCTGTGTTGTCTTTGTGATTATAAAACATTTACTGATTGAACCCTAGCTATCATAACAGACCCATGGGATATAAAACAGTTAAGACTTGTTCATAATCCAAATCAAAAACATCCAGTTAATTTAAAATAAGGATAAACCAATTAACTCCCAGATTCTCACCTTTCTCTTAATCCAATTCAAAAACATCCAGGTAATTTCTAATAATGATAAAACAATTATAATCTTGTCTGCAAATGTGTCTGTGTTGTCTCTGTGATTATAAAACATTAACTGATTGAATCCTAGCTATCATAACGGACCCATGGGATATAAAACAGTTAAGACTTGTTCATAATCCAAATCAAAAACATCCAGTTAATTTAAAATAAGGATAAACCAATTATCTCCCAGATTCTCACCTTTCTCTTAATCCAAATCAAAAACATCCAGGTAATTTCTAATAATGATAAAACAATTATAATCTTGTCTGCAAATGTGTCTGTGTTGTCTCTGTGATTATAAACCATTTACTGATTGAATCTTAGCTATCATAACAGACCCATGGGATATAAAACAGTTAAGACTTGTTCATAATCCAAATCAAAAACATCCAGTTAATTCAAAATAAGGATAAACCAATTATCTTCTTGATTCACACCTTTCTCTTAATCCAAACATAAAACATTCAGTTCTTTTCTAATAGGATAAACCAATTAACTCCCGTATTCGCACCTTTCCTGTTGTTTTCCACAATTAGGGATGTCATTGAGACTTAAATAAGTTAATTAGGACAATATTGGTTCTTTGATTACATTGCATATGTAAAGATAATAAGAACTATAACATTGACTCAATATGTGGCTATTATTGAAATGTCCAGACATTTGATTTCTGATAAAATGTTCAGATTAGACAGGTCAGTTTTTCAAATCTGGTTGTTCACTGTTCAGATTAGGAGGTGTTCAGATTTCAAGGTTCTATTAACATGGGAGTCAATGGGAGGAAAAAATGGGACCGAAAAAAAGTGTTCAAATTGGAAGGTGTTCGGATTAGCCAGGTGTTCAGATGTACAGGTTCTACTGTATTTCTGTTTTTTTCTTGAAATTCACTCTCTCAAATTTACATATGTCAAATGATAAGCCTTGTTCTGGTAAAATACCAGCTTCTGAAATATTGACATTTTCAGCCCACCCTGTGCATCATATTTATAATTGTATATATGGCAGTACAGTATAAACAGTATTAATATCTAAAACACTCACGCTTGGTGGAAAGTGAAGATATGAGCTATAATCATATTGTGATTTGCTTGTCATTCCCATTCTCTCCAGGGGGACCATGGTCTCCAAATCATCCTTCTGTGAATTGACTAAGCCATTTGTGTTAACATCAATATAACTTGAACGGTCAAACCGTTCATGTTCTGGTATAATTCCAATACTTTTCAGGACAGTGTAAGTGATACCTCTTTTCTGGAAAGTAATAAAGCAAATATGTAATTATATTTTTTTGTCATACCGAAGGATGTATAGATGTGCTGAATAATGACTTTCCAGTAGCCGAGAAAATAAAGAATCATAATTTAACATTTAACCTCCTTTATTACCAAGAATACTTAAACATTGATATAAGCACCATTAAGGTAGATAATGATCTGAATATTTACATCGAAACATGCATGGTTCAGGTAAATAAGGTTGACCATCACACCTCCTTTATTACCTAGAATACTAATATTGAAACATGCATGGTTCAGGTAAATATGATTGGCCATCACACCTCCTTTATTACCCAGAATACTTAGACTGAAACATGCATGGTTCAGGCAAATATGATCGACCATCACACCTCCTTTTATTACCCAGAATACTTACACTGAAACATGCATGGTTCAGGTAAATATGATTGACCATCACACCTCCTTTATTACACAGAATACTTACACTGAAACATGCATGGTTCAGGTAAATATGATTGACCATCACGGCTCCTTTATTACCCAAAATACTTACATTGAAACATGCATGGTTCAGGTTTAATATGATTGACCATCACACCTCCTTTATTACACAGAATACTAATATTGAAACATGCATGGTTCAGATTTTAAATGATTGACCATCACACCTCCTTTATTACCCAGAATACTTACACTGAAACATACATGGTTCAGGCAAATATGATCGACCATCAAACCTCCTTTATTACACAGAATGCATGATTCAGGTTTTATATGGTTGACCACCACACCTCCTTTATTACCCAGAATACTTACACTGAAACATGCATGGTTCAGGTAAATATGGTTGACTGTCACACCTCCTTTATTACCCCAAATACTTACATTTAAACATGCATGGTTCAGGTGAATATGATTGACCATCACGCCTCCTTTATTACCCAGAATACTTACATTTAAACACCCATGGCTCAGGTAAATATGATTGACCATCACGCCTCCTTTATTACCCAGAATGCTTACACTGAAACATGCATGGTTCAGGTAAATATGATTGACCATCACGGCTCCTTTATTACCCAAAATACTTACATTGAAACATGCATGGTTCAGGTTTAATATGATTGACCATCACGCCTCCTTTATTACCCAGAATACTTACATTTAAACACCCATGGCTCAGGTAAATATGATTGACCATCACACCTCCTTTATTACCAAGAATACTTACATTTAAACACCCATGGCTCAGGTAAATATGATTGACCATCACGCCTCCTTTATTACCCAAAATACTTACATTTAAACACCCATGGCTCAGGTAAATATGATTGACCATCACGCCTCCTTTATTACCCAAAATACTTACATTTAAACACGCATGGTTCAGGTGAATATGATTGACCATCACGCCTCCTTTATTACCCAGAATACTTACATTTAAACACCCATGGCTCAGGTAAATATGATTGACCATCACGCCTCCTTTATTACCCAAAATACTTACATTTAAACACGCATGGTTCAGGTGAATATGATTGACCATCACACCTCCTTTATTACCAAGAATACTTACATTTAAACACCCATGGCTCAGGTAAATATGATTGACCATCACGCCTCCTTTATCACCCAAAATACTTACATTTAAACACGCATGGTTCAGGTGAATATGATTGACCATCACGCCTCCTTTATTACCCAGAATACTTACATTTAAACACCCATGGCTCAGGTAAATATGATTGACCATCACACCTCCTTTATTACCCAAAATACTTACATTTAAACACGCATGGTTCAGGTAAATATGATTGACCATCACGCCTCCTTTATTACCCAGAATACTTACATTTAAACACCCATGGCTCAGGTAAATATGATTGACCATCACGCCTCCTTTATTACCCAGAATACTTACATTTAAACACGCATGGTTCAGGTGAATATGATTGACCATCACGCCTCCTTTATTACCCAGAATACTTACATTTAAACACCCATGGCTCAGGTAAATATGATTGACCATCACGCCTCCTTTATTACCCAAAATACTTACATTTAAACACGCATGGTTCAGGTAAATATGATTGACCATCACGCCTCCTTTATTACCCAAAATACTTACATTTAAACACGCATGGTTCAGGTGAATATGATTGACCATCACGCCTCCTTTATTACCCAGAATACTTACATTTAAACATGCATGGTTCAGGTGAATATGATTGACCATCACGCCTCCTTTATTACCCAAAATACTTACATTTAAACACGCATGGTTCAGGTAAATATGATTGACCATCACGCCTCCTTTATTACCCAGAATACTTACATTTAAACATGCATGGTTCAGGTAAATATGATTGACCATCACGCCTCCTTTATTACCCAGAGTTGCCTCACATCTAAAAATGTGTTATACATATATAGATTATTGATTATAAATAATCATGAATTATATATTGTAGGCAATGGAATAAGAAGGGATAGAGATACAATCTTTTCAAAAACCATACCAATTTCCCTTTTCATTATTTGAGTCAGATTACCATTACCCTTTGCATTCGTTTGACTTCACTTCTTCAAAGAGAGCTTCGTCTTCACTCTTTCAAACTAAAATAAACCTGTGAACTCACCGCACCAATCAGTGTTCGTCGGCCAAATTTGACCGACGTTCTATATATGGTCATTCCTTCTGACGTCATCGTTGAGCCCGGAATTGACCAATGACACGCGCATATTTAATTAGAACGCATTTGGCGTATGTTTCATCAAGCTCGCTGATTGGTGGAAGAAAGGTCAGCGCGTATGTCAATTTTACCCAAACTGTCACCGGTACCTGTCGTGGGGATAAGCTACTAAACTGTAATATGGTCTCTACTAGGCAGAGTGTAGTTTAACTAGACTCTGCACGCAGGGTAGATTACCATGAAGATTTCCATGAGGGATTATTCGAAAACAACTCTTAGACTTTAGAGAAGATATCCATGATATAAAATGATGTGTAAAATTGTTACACTTTTTCAAAAATTACTATCGTCTCTTCTACTCCCGGGGTTAAAGTTTACTTCAGGTTAGTTTGTGTCAAAGTGATTCGGGATGGAGTGATATCAAAACAAATTCCTGATTTGGTATGATGAATTTTTACTTTTACGAATCAACATCAACTTTTGACATATTTTCAGGATTATTACTTACATTTCTCTATAATGGTCTAAGTGGAATTTTATCCTTGGATCTGGCATTGAAACTGTTTCTTCAACTACAGCAGGCTCAAAGTCAAGACACGTATCAGCCTCCAATTGAGACAATACCCCTTCAATGGTGGTAATCTCAGCTGCACCTATAAAGCAATTAGCCAGGATTAAGGTGGGATATCAGCTACAGCTATAACACAATGCATGCTGGGACAAAGGTGGGTTACTAGCTGCAGTTATAAAGCAATGCATGCCGGAATCAAGAAGGGATATCAGCTGCAGCTATAAAGCAATGCATGCCGGAATCAAGAAGGGATATCAGCTGCAGCTATAACGCAATGCATGCCGGAATCAAGAAGGGATATCAGCTGCAGCTATAACGCAATGCATGCCGGAATCAAGAAGGGATATCAGCTGCAGCTATAACGCAATGCATGCCGGAATCAAGAAGGGATATCAGCTGCAGCTATAACGCAATGCATGCCGGAATCAAGAAGGGATATCAGCTGCAGCTACTGTATAAAGCAATGCATGCCAGGTGGGTTACTAGCTGCAGTTATAAAGCAGTGCATGTTAGGATTAAGGTGGGTTACTAGCTGCAGTTATAAAGCAATGCATGCTAGGACTAAGGTGGGTTACTAGCTGCAGTTATAAAGCAGTGCATGTTATGATTAAGGTGTGATATAAGCTACAGCTATAAAGCAATACATGTCAGGATTAAGGTATGATATCAGCTGCAGCGTTAAGGTAATGCATGCCAGGATTAAGGTAGGCAGAGTATGATAATTTTGGGATAAGTTTGCTTAGCTAGAACTAGCAACTGAAACAACTGGGTGAATAGACAGCATATTATAAGACTGTTTAAATCTGCATTACTAATGACAGAAACTTAGCATCAAAGTCTTTATTCCGACTACTAATTATTTCTTCTGCTGGACCTTAATTAGTACTTAATAATACTTTGCAATTCTTGATGCAATTAATCAAATCCATCCTCATATATAGGGTGTCCGGAAAGTAAAGATACAAATACTCTTATTTTAAGAAATTTGAGTTTTTTGAAATGAAATTGCTACAGATTGTAGAGAAACAATATTACAATATATCTACCAACTTTCATCACATATAGTCTAAATGTGTTTAAGTTACGGTTGTTATGGTTACGGATACGAGGGGTATGCGGAGCAGTTCCAGAACAACGCTAAAAAGTGAAAAATTGCTAAAAGACAACCATTTGAAACAGTGTTTTTTGTTGTATTTTCTATCAATGTTTTGTTTAGTTCATCATTGTATTATTGCTGCCATAGTGTTTTCTTTTATATAATGATGCCATTGCTACATATCAGAACTATGTTATGTCACTAACCAGTATAATGAAAGAAATATTATACAAGTGCCTAGAAGAATGGTCCCTGGCCATTATAGTAGGAAAGTCAATATTGCATCTCCACAATGCACCAATACACAAAGCAAAAAACAAATCTTACAGTTGAGTGTCTTGACATTAAACCTTTCTATACAATGCCCCATATTCACCTGATAAAGCCTCTTTAGACTTCTACTTTTTAATGACCATTTGAAAGCAATATTTGTAAAAAGTTCAACATACAAATGAGACTCAGCTGGAAGCCAATGTTATCAGGAATCTAAGAGATGGATAGCAGCGGTTTTGCCAGGCCTTTGAATCGCCGGTCAAGATGCACCAAGAATGTATAGATAATGGGGAAAATACTGAATATTCAATGATAGTAGTAATATGAAATGATCAAATAATGTTAAAGTACTAATCCTTATGCTGTTGTGGTACATAATTTGAAATAATATAGGAATAGATGGTGGAGTGCCAAGATCATATGAGAAGGAAAGAGATTTGTAGAACACAGTTGTGACGTTGCTCCACTTACCCTCGACTCTCGTTATCATAACAACCATAACTTTTTCATTTTGAAACTAAAAGTCATGACAGTTGTAGCATATATTCTTATAATGTCATTCTACGATCTGTAGCAATTTCATCTCATAACAGGTAAATCTCTTGAAATGAGAGCATTTGTATCTTTAATATAGGTGTTTAATAAATGAATATCTACTGAGATGATTGTATAGAGGTAAATATATTGACAAAGACAGAACTCTTAAAGAAAGTGTTTTAAAATTTATTCTTTCCCTAAATATTATTAATGTACACTAGTAACTGATGCTGTAACAATTAAAGGCATGGAGAATGCAAAATCCTTCTTTTAGTCATCATGTAAAGTGCGTAGTCGCAAATTCATATTGAATCATTTTATGTAACTATATTTTGTAAATAATTAAGTAAAAGCTAGCCTATAATGCTAAGAAGCGCTTGGCAGCTCATTTGAAATTGTAATTTTTTAGATACTATGAATAAATATAACATGAAATGAAAAAAAAATTGAATACTTACTGAAAGATGTATCTGTTTGTAAATCATATTTTACAACAGCTGGCCAAGTAGCTTCACTGGGATCATCTAGAGCTTCTGCACGTTTATTTCTTTGAGGGACACCATTAACCAGTGCTACAATAATATGATTTCCAAAGGCCTGTATTTTATGCCATTTATTGGAACCCAGTGGAAGGAATGGCACTTGCCAACTCCAAACCTTTGACTGATTCGTATTAATTCTAATTTTCATTCAAAAAATCTAATTTATTTCACAATCTTTAGTTTCTCCTCAGACGTCCACATATTTTCATAATTGTTAAACCTCCTTCAAAGGGAGCATGGCTGAAGAAACAATGATTTTATTATGCAATATTTTAGGTTTAAATTACACAGTAGTGTTAAATTGCTTTGTACAAAGCATTTTGACGAAAAAGCTTCATACAGTATCATAACAAATTATATTTGAGATGTAACACAGGCATAATAACATTCAACGTTACAATTACAAAGCTTCTTGTTAAAATGCTCCATAAAAAGCCTTAACCCTGCTATGTAAAAGGTATCTTAGACTCCATATAAAATACAATTTATTATTCCTTATATTAGCTTACCTTGTAAATATAAGATGTAGAATACAAATGTTCCTATATGTCGATAAGTGCTTCTATTTAACATATTTCCTGATAACAAAAACAAATTCTGATGAACACAAAAATGAGGTCTATTGGTGCATTCTAATATTATTGTGTTACATATATAGATATATTACCATCCACTTTTAAATTTTGAATAAACAATTAAGTTTAAATCAAATTCATGTTTTTGATTTATAGAATTAATGATGTGGTCAATGTACTAACTAAACAATTATGTTCCATGATAAATTCAATTAACATGAGCCATTTGATGACATTTACTCATATATAACACCCATCTGTTTCCTCTATGTCCATTATAAATTAATGTAAATGTTTGTCCTTATGATTTTATCCAACGAATGTTCTTTAGGGATATGGTTTTGACAGGCTAGTTCAAGGATGTACTCTGGACAATATTGCTAGTTGTGCTGAGTGATGGCAGCCAATTATGCTCTGAAAATGTATCTGGTTGGGAAACATAATAAAGTTCACACTATAAATAAATATCAGATCATAGGCTTCATTTTAACATGTTACATTTACCACGTCAAACAATAATGGTACATGGTCCATTTGTGATTCAGATGGCAAAATTCAATGATCATATCCATATACGTACATGAGCAATGGCATACATATAGTAAACATACAGGCTGGGCCAATAAAATGAGTAAACCTTCATGTTCAAGTTCACTTTTTTCAAGTATGGATTAATGAGACATTCTCACTGGTCAGTATCAAGAGTGATGATTTTGATATTTTTAGTTTCATTGAATTAATATTCTGAACAAATTATCATACTTCAGACTTTCCATATCGAATAAGACAAATTTGGTTCAAATATCAAAGTATTACGTCAACTATAAAGTAGTTTAATTCGACAAAAAACTTAAAAATATCAGAAACGACAATTATCGTCCGCCATCTTAGATGTGAAAGTTACAGCCATTACCTTCAATTGACACTAACCAGTGATTCTATGCTGCAAATTCTGTGAAAATGTATCACAATATATAGAAAGATAAAGAAATTAGAGTGATATTATGAGAACTTTATGGTCAAGCCTTGTATGTCACACCATTGAAAACTGAATCATCTAACAGTGGTTATCATTGAAGGTCAAATCTTTAATCTAAAGTCAGATTTGAACTTCTGAAAACGTAGACAATTTTCCAAAAATTTAGAGTCAGCCATGACAGGATTTGAAAAAATTGGGCAATTTGAAGCAAATTGACAAAATACCTTTTTTAACCTTTTTTGACCTTGAGAAGGTCATTGAAGGTCAAATCTGAACTTCCTAGAACTTGTCGTTGATTTTGAAAATATTTGAAGTCAGTTTAAACAGTAAAGAGTTCTTCTTAAGTTTTTGGAAGTTGTAAGAATTGGTTACAGACACAGAATGTCCACGACAAACTGCCGTCACAATAAAGTTGGAGGCCATAAGTAAAATATATTTCCACTTTTGGTGGTGACATAATACCAAACAAAAAACTAAACTTATAACCAATACAACCGTTTGTTTAATTCAGTATTGTTTACCACAATAAATATACAATTTGGCATGACATTAAATGCTACAATCTATAGGTGCATCAAACAATGAAATCGTTCAACACCTAAGAGCATGCATAAAGGTAGGTACACTCTTTGTACTTATCCAAAGCGAAATTCAAGAGTCTAAGTTTATCACACAATCTATTGTCCAGCATGTTCTAGTAGGATACATGATTATCTAGTTATCTAGATATTGTAGAGATATTTCCTAAAGTCAATTTTCCTATTTGTCTATGCCCAAGTTCCATAATATTTCTTTTTCACCAAGCTCCTTCCTAAATCCTGGCCTGAATTGAGTGCAAGGATGCTGAAAAGAGAGCATTATATTCTATTAATAAAAGGGCATTACTGCTTTCACTATAACAAACAATTCCCAGAGAAAACCTCAACCTCCAGAGAACATCCTTAAAATTGGAGATTATTGTGCACGAGCCCATTATTGCATGCTTTATGATAATGCGTGTTTAGCTACCTATGTGGATTGGTGTCATTTCAAAATATTGGTTTCAAAAAGGCCTTGTAACGCCAACTTTTTGTTCTTACATTTTCAAACAACAGAGAAGCAAATATTTAATCAGTACTCAAAGAAAGCATGTTATTCTCTTCCCATTTAAAGTAACCTTTCTGTACTACCTTATAAAGTTCCCTACCTTGTCTAAGATTTCAAGGATGGCATAAGCATCATCTCCTGTGGGGAACATTTCAGGGCAACGGTCATACCAGAATGGACGAGAAAACAATCTGTCTAGTGCCACTTTGTTGTTAAAACTAGAAAAAAATATATCAACAGAATTAGCTAAATAAACAAAACAAGAAAATCCAGTGAAAAATCATGAAAAATACAAAGACACAAAGTTAGAAGGGAATGGATAAAGGGAAATCTGTTGGTGTCAAATATGTACAGTAGGGAATACCATCTTAGTAAAATCTTAATTCAGACATTTTTTCAATTGAAGCTGTGAGAGTTAAGTCCAATGTCAAGTTTATATTACCTTTAATCCCCCTTCTTTAGGCAATTCATATTAAACGAATATAGTAAAATTGAAACAAGGAAACCTTTTTTGACTTACTATCGTCTGTAGAAACTCCAGTCATCCTCGCGATTAATTTCCCAATCACTGAATTTATTGGCATCTTCATTTAGGTCAGGTTCCAGTTTGAGCTGTTCTATTTCTTCAACGAGCTAATAACAGATTTCCATAGATTATTAAATTATTATCTAAAACACTTTAGTTCATGAAATCATAAATTAGATGATGTAATAATCTCAAAGAAATAATCTACCAGATAACTAATAAGAAATATTATTATTTCTTCCCATCTTATTTACATGAGCAATTTTACATGTAATCCAATCAGATTTTAGGATTATGATCAATGGATAATAACTTACAATATCCCATTCTGGACCGTAATCTTGCCAGTTGTACTCGACCACTTCTCCAAACTTTCTCATTTGGGGGATGAACTTATTCTTATAGACCTTTTCCATGTTAGTCAGGAAATCATCATTCAAAATCTTGCTGTTTACTTCCATGGGCTGCAATCATAGAAAAATATATTTGATATTGAAGCTTAAATAAAATATAAAATTATTTTTACAGCATTTAATTTAAAAGTTAATTCTGAACTTGAAAACAGCAACTCTCTGGGGAAGTAAAATCTACTGAACAAACCAATGTTCTATCAAATCACTAGTCATTTTAACTTTCATAATAGAAATTACTGGGCATTAGAACTGTGTTTGGTAATATGACATGACATCATATTAGTTGAGGTCCTACTCTCATATGACATCAGCCAATAAAACTTGAACCAAGTCTGATAATTCATAACTTGCAATGTCCCATTCTGGACTGAAGTTGAAATAACTGTTTGAAGCTTACACTGTACTCACTAATATGTCATTGTGATGACATCAAAGACTCAATAAAATATGAATGTATATATTTCTATGATGAAGTTATTAAACTGATGTAATATTATACTGAAATTGATGTCATCTCATACTAGTCTCAAAATGGTTATTATTAGATCATCGAGCTTTTTTACTTTCAGATATCTTCTTTCTTCATCAATCCAATATGACTGTTCTCAACAACACAGAACTATCATTTTACAGAATACTAACATTTGTCTTGGATGATATATAGGATTGGGATATCACAGCTGCTCTTAAAGGGCATAGTCAACATTTACAAAATTTTCAAAGATTTCCAATATTTTTGGAAAATCAATAAGGTAAAACCTGAGAGTTTTCAAAGATGTTTTGTGTTAGGCCACCCAAATCAACAATGCATTCATCGTTACAACTGGACAACTTCAACAAACTTTTATTAATATGAATACTGTACATCCAATTTATTAAACAAATATCAATCAGCCATATTTACATAACTGTACAAATAAGTTTTTTCTTTCTATCAAGAAGTGACACTTGTACAATATACTGGTACACATTATTACTAAATTCTATATTGTACCGTCATATGTAACAATTTATTCACCAATGAAGGCATCACATGAAGCAGGTGAAAAAGGTGTCCCTAGATTGTTTGATAAAGTTCGTTTACCATATTGTGTATATATCACAATGCATTTGTAGAGTGTATGAGAATGTTTTCTGAATTGTACTACAACTTTCCTCATGTTCCATAACTGTATTACAAAATGTCTCAATTTCAAAATGTCTGAAATGCGTCTAGAATTATTTAGTCATATAATGTGAATTAAGAATTTAAGAGAGTCTCCAGATAATATATTAGACCCTTGTCAGTTTGATTCTAGTTTGCATCATACTAGAATAGTCATTTCCGTATAAGTTGTAAAATGTGACAGTGTTCCACATGATTCCCGTAACCGTATTCACTGATGTATGCAGTTTACCATCAACTGAGTATTCACCATTCAATAAAATGGCAGAACAATTGTTATACCACCAACCACCGTGCTTGTCGTTGACACCATCTGTACATTTTAATGGGCTATTCTCATTATCAGCATCCAACGTAGTGAACTCTTGGCCATTTGGTGTAAACAAAGGGTTGAGGTTAAGTGAGTCACCTGCATTTCCATCATCGAAATCACCCAGGGAAAGCCTGTAATTGTCAGATTCGTCAGCAATGGAGAATGATCTGTAGGTGGCACTGTACCATGTACCTCCAGGGTGCTTCATCTCGAAATGAGCTTCATATTGTCCACTTGAGCTTAGATAGTGGATACGATCATTTCCGAGCCAAAACTCATCAGCAAGACTCCCAAAGCCATGTTTATAGTCATCCCAGTCTCTTGAAAACTCCAATATGCCATCGATCCTGTGTTGTATGATGGTGGAACCATTATGGCAGTACACAGGGAAAGGGTATGGACTTCCTGCGGGATGAATCAGATATGTTCCATCAATAATTGCGCCATTGGTGTACCACTCAGTACAATCATGTGCTACTTCATTAGCAAGTGGTTCTTCATATGAATGTGACCAGCTGGTGACTGTCTCTATCATAGATGGAATGAAATCAGATATGATGGTCCTGTTTAACAAATAGCACTTATTGATGCTGTGGTTATAGTTAATTCCTCTGCAAGTGCTATCAGCTGAACACTGACTGTTGCAGTGGGCTAGTGATCTAACATATGCTCCATTGCTGTCTCCTGTAGGATCCAAGAATTTTGAGTTTTTCATCCTTTTGTACAGTACTTGCCTGCTACTTGCCATTGTAAATATCAGCAGAACGGTCAGTAGAATTAACACTCGTGCCATTTTATACATGACTTATCTTTTACGAATTATGTTTAAATAATTCTACAGGTATGAATACATAGAGTATAAATGTAGTTTTGTCTTATGTTGAGGGTTTTTCAATCATAATCTTTCCGTCTTTGTCTGACATCCACAATTATCAACTTATACTCAAGCTCTGCAAACTTTAAAATGATTATGAAACAGATTATTGATGGATCATGCCTTTTGTTGAGACAAGATATTGATGAACTAGTATTCTATATCATCAAAAAGGAGGGTGACTGACCAATCAAATGCTAGAAATGCTAGTTTGCTATACATGTTCAGAATGTATCTCAGGCTTTGAGGGTATCATATCTAATGCACCAATTTGAGTAATAGAAAAGAGAGAAGAACATATGGAAATCAGCAAATACAGAAATGTAATAAATCGTATAATATCTCAGCATAATGGCCTAAAGGAGAAAAACTTATAGGATTAAAATCATTGTATAATATAATTTTTAAAAAGAATAACACAAAGAACCAAGCCCACATCATCCCTACTAATAAATAAATCAACAAAATACTGAGAAATCTGTAGATGACTTTGACAAAATGGTCAATTTGAAGCAAGTTTTTATACCCTGAGAATGTCATTGAAGGCGAAATTTCAAATCTTAAGTCAGATTAGAACTTCTGGGAACTTAAAGATGATTTGGAAAAATAAATTGGTCAATTTGAAGCAAGTTGAAAAAAGACCTTTTTGAGCCTGAGAAGGTCATTGAAGGTCAAATCTTTTATGACTTTTATAATTCATTGAAGGTCAAATCTATAGTCAGATTTGAACTTTAAAATCTTGAGAACTTGTAGAAAAATTGGTCAAATTGAAGCAAGTTGAAAAAAGTCTTTTTTGACCTTTCTTTGACCTTGAGAAGGTCGTTGAAAGTCAAATCTTAAATTTAAAGTCAGATTTCCACTTCTGATAATTTGTAGATGATTTTGAAAAACAATTCGATAAGTTTGAAACACTAGTTGAAAAAATACCTTTTTGACCTTTTTTAACCTTTTTTGAACTTGAAAAGGTCATTGAAGGTTGAATATTTTATGTTAAGTCAAATTTGAACTTCTGAAAACTTGTAGATGATTTGGAAAAAAATTGAAGTCAGTCTAAACAGTATTTGTTAAGATATCTGAAGTTTTAAGAATTTGTTACATACACCAACCGCCGCCTGCCACCTACCAACCACCGCCACAAAAACGAAGACCATAACAATATGCCACTACTTCTTGGTGGTGACATAATTACAGGAAGCAAGCAGGATATAATTTGATGATGCCATACATGTTCCATGGCCCATGTAGATAGTTTATAATTACCAAGCATACGAAACCAAATATTAACTGTTTTACCATGCTAACAGAAATAAGTCCTTTATCAAACACATCTTGTATTTGAACTTGTGTCATATTCACATTTCAATTGGTAAAAGAAGGCAAATGACCAACAGAGATTCCAATACTTTATTGATTAATGATAATTGTTTATGACGTTTAGTGTACCAGCAATATTCCCTTCAGACCAAAGGCCTTATGTTATTTTTTGTTTATTTAAAAATTGCTTGTTTATGGGGGCCTTTTGTAATTAATGGTTTTAATTAATATAATGAATTAACAAATAAAAATTTGTATTTCCTTTTAGATGATAACCATATGTATGATTAAACCAAATACCATATAAATGGGGACAGCATATTTTGGAAGGTTAAACAAGCGTGTGAAACTATTGGATGTTATTGACATGATATATAAAACTGTTAATGAATTACATCATAAAAAGAAATCTAATACATCAGAAGATTAGTATCATAACTTATACTAGTTTTCTTCAGTATAATAATGTAAAAGTAAGTAAAACTTGAAGTTTTATAACTTTGAATGAAGTATGTTAATTTCTAGCATAAAAATATAATTTTAGTACTTAAATTCTGTGACCAATCAATCATAATACGTAAATATGACACCATTAATATAAATTAATTGAATGACACAGACATCAAACAACAAATATTGTTAGACAGTGTCTTTGCCAACAAGAAACTTTAACTGAATTCAATATTCTATATTTGGTAATTAAAGATCAATAACAATGAAGCGTGATGAAATACTGATCAGATCTCATATTCTGTGTTTCTATGACAACTAATTAATTAGGAGGTGAAAGGTTCTATGTTTGTCTATAAGAACTGTATGCCAATAATTTTCCCAAATTGTGTAAACTGTACACATTCTTTAATCCCAAGAATATTCTCTTGGAGGGATTTCCCATAATCCAATGGTATAGTTCCAAGCAGATTTTGAGATAACGGGAAATTCAATCTTTAATACACACCATATTGGGTTGTTTTGGTTTGTATCACTGAGCATTTTTTGGGAATCGACTTTCATAAAAAATCAATTAAATAAGCTTAACATAGCTGAGAAATGAGAACTGAATTCTCTGGCATTCAAGTAAATGCAGAATTAACCTTTTGCTGACAATAACTTTTTTATGTCTTGATGAATGCAGCAGTGACAGTGAATCATGAAGGATGCATTTCATTGCCTTTCATCACAACAGAAAATATAATGTGCGCTGATAGTCATGATGTTGATTAGGGTTCCCACAATACATTATGAAACGTTACGATACATATCTCGATACTTACCTACCGATACGAGCAATGATTCAATACATTTTCATTCTGTTGAAAATTTTAGAACGTTCACCTAAACGTTATGTCTATAATTATGAACGAAAATTTGTTTGCTTTTTATTCAACATATCAAGATGAAGTAATATTTCTAAATTATGTATATTGGCTCTGGTAGGTTCAGAGACGAGTGGAAGAACTGTTCAATTTGAAAAAGAAAATTGCAATAATCGACCTTGTATGTTAACAAATAAACTATGAAATCAAAATGATGATGTCCTGAAATAAATGCATAAAATGCAAAATGTGACCTGGATTTCATAATTTTCAATTACATTTACTAAAAGATCACTAAAATCTAAAAGATTTTTAGTTGATACAGATGAGATAATACTAGCTCCTAGTATTTCTATACTTTTGACTATTACATGCCATTTTGTGCCAAAATATGTGCAAATCTTGCGTTAAATACAGGTACAAATTTTTGGCAAATTCCCGATGAAGCATAACAATTGTCCATTTATACTCAAGTAGACACTCTTACAGAGTTATCAACTAATATATAGAAATATTGAGACTTATAATGAGATGTGGGTGGGGTTGCAGTCAAATTGGATGCTAAAGGGTGGGGTTGCAGTCAAATTGGATGCTAAAGGGTGGGGTTGCAGTCAAATTGGATGCTAAAGGGTGGGGTTGCAGTCAAATTGGATGCTAAAGGGTGGGGTTGCAGTCAAATTGGATGCTTAAGGGTGGGGTTGCAGTCAAATTGGATGCTAAAGGGTGGGGTTGCAGTCAAATTGGATGCTTAAGGGTGGGGTTGCAGTCAAATTGGATGCTAAAGGGTGGGGTTGCAGTCAAATTGGATGCTTAAAGGGATCCAACACCTTACAAAACTTCTTAACGGAGAGGAATAAGGGAAAATGCTTGCCGGATTCTGAATCTGTGTATTTTTTAATGATTTTTCACCGTCTTAGAATTTCAATTTTTTTCTTTTGAAAAAATGAGATTTGCATTGTTTTTCAATTAGACAAATGAGTAAACATGAATAGCTCGAAATCTAACGGTGAGATTTTGTTTTAAAAAATCATGGATATCAAGGCTAAATATAGCTATACAATAAACATAAAAAAGCAATGCTTGGACTCTTCATATTCACACAAAAAATTAATTAGTAAATGAGGTTTGATATTTGTGAGAATAAGTTGTACGAGTCGCAATGCTCTACAAACACCAGACTACAGGGTGGATTAGGATCAATGACACACATAAAAATTAATTTAAAAATATTTCATGATAATTATCTCAAACAAAAGCAGTTAGCGAAGGATACATTTCATTACACTCAATAAATAGTTATCACTTTTGACTATATATACATATCTCATGGGAATGTATTTCCATCTGCTCAAGATATCATATTTTAGCTTCGAAAATCACAATCGTTGGATAATACATTTGTCTCAGAATGATAGGCCACCCTGTAGCAATGTAGCTTTCACTTGAAGTGTACCCTTGAGAATAATGCACTTACTTTCAAATTGGTCTTGCTTTTGTGGTGTATGTGGCTTTTTAGCAAAACTGCCACGCTCATTTCTTTCCAGAACCATCTTGTTCACATGTAACACTAGGCTATACGCGCATGTATAGACAGATGACATAGATACATATAAATTATATACTGCACCTGTATTTACTTACATGGGAATATTCCCTTTGGAAAAATGCAAATGCATGAACATATATTTTCATCTTATATATGACTTCAAGCTAACATATTATTTCATATTTATATTTTCATAGTTAGTCTAACATAAATAATAGATCCATGAGAACAATATTCTTTGTTTTCTTAAAAATTGATGGGTTTACTGTGAATTCAATAAATTACAATTTGCAAGGGGTAAGTATACTGTATGACCTTAGTTGCAAAGTACTGTTTATATATGCAGCTCAATAGCATAAAATATGTTGAATGAAGCATATGGTATGGATTAGTCGTGTGACACACAAACTGACCAATACATGAGGGTATTAGCTACTTTTCACAGAAACCAAAGGAGGACAGTGCTTTTATTTCAACTGGGAGCTTACCTCCACACGACTGATCATGTGACCATGGTGTTGGGTCCCTTTAAGGGTGGGGTTGCAGTCAAATCGGATGCTAAAGGGTGGGGTTGCAGTCAAATTGGATGCTAAAGGGTAAAGATTCTTACCTTATTCCTCTTAATGATACGCTCTCGTAGAGTTGACACTGGAGCATCTAGGTATATGGTGAGATGTGGTGCCCAAAGTTCACAAAGACTGTTTTCTCTGATCATGTAGTAGTACTTCAATGCTACAAAAATATGAGAAATCATTAGTTTAACTTCATTTTTCCTGTAGAAGTAGCTTCACTCAAAGACATCAATGGTGCTTATATTTTCCTTTTGATTTGATGGTTTTTAAACATACATACATTTATCAATTGTGGTACATTTATATACAATATTTGAATATCCTACAATTTATATGAAATCTTCCACCAAGAAGAATTGAGCAACATATTATATGGATCAGATCCTGGACTATGTATTTTGCGGATGCAATGGAAAAATGAATAAGCTTTCATATTTTTCTAGTAGTTGTCAAAGCAAATAAAGTATTTTCATCTAAGGTACATCGAATTTTATAAACAAAGTTTTAATTGAATGCAAATATAACCAAATAAATGTCATGCAGTATTGTGCTTCAAGCCTACCATCTTTTGAGATGTAACCCATCTTGTTCAAAACTTCAGCGAACACCAGGTCACTCCATACTGATCTGTCCAAAACAACTCCTTGGCCTAAAATGTAAATCCAATGAATATCATAAGTTGGAGACATTAAATAAATGTGTGTTGCTGATGTAATCTTAATTCAAGGTTCCCTGAGAAGTTAACCCAGAATTCATTTTTAAAATACACAAAACCCATGAAGTGAATCACATTATCCCTTGTCAAAATGTTTGAGTTATTTCCAGCTAATATTTTACTTGGTTTTCTAAATGAGGGAGATGAATTCAAAATATTGTCCATTGATAAAAAATGTTTTCGATTAAATTTTTCTTCCTGAGAATACTGCCGACACCATTATACTTGGATGAGTTTTACAATGTAACCTAGGGGGAGAGAGGACATATTAGCTGGTAAGTAGATATGTGGTTATATAACGATAAATTTCTGTGCATAATTCCTTAAGTGACAACACTGCAGAGTTTGACTTTATCTGCAGCAACATGGGATGTGTGAATAATGTTTGTGGATAATTCCTATGTGGAATGACTTACCTGTGTTAAGAACATGCACTAAAGCTTCTGCATACTTGTAGAATCTTTGCACATACATCCTAACTTGCAACCCTCCAACTTTTCCTCCCATTGACTCATATCCACCATAAAAGTCTGCCATGTCGTACATCCTGGCGTTTGGAGGTAAAAATTTGTTTAATTCCCTCAAATCAAAATCTCCTAAAGTGTAGACATCAGTATCGGTAGTTTCTGGCACATACCAAAAATCAAGTTCTTTGGCTAATTTTTTAGAAAATTCTGTTTTACCGACACCAATATTCCCATCGACGCAGATAATTTTGGCATTTTCATCCATGCGTTTCATCGTTGATTCAAAGGTGAGAAACTGGTGCCACATTCTGTAAGGTTTGGTCCTGTAAGGCCATGGTGGTATCATCCCTTCACGAGGTTTCCCATGAGCTGATGTAATTGATGCTACTTTTGTTGCTAGTACAGGTGTGGCTTTTAGAAGAGTTTGGGATGTTTCAATCTGTGGCTGCAGGCGTGCAAGGCACGCCCTTGCTGTGCGGGACAGCATACTGAACACTGAAAAGGGATTTCAATAACATACATGTCATGAAATTGAATTGACTTATAATGAAAGTGTTTGACAAAGAAAATTTGACTTTTTATGTAATGCCTAGGTCACATTTGCTCCAATTCATCTGATACATTATACATGTATTACCAAACATGTGTGAAATGGAATGTTTCATTGTTCGTTCATTTTATGAGAGCTAAATAAAATGCGAACATCAGAGCATAAAACAAACATTTTATTTTTCACACATGTTTGGTAATATAACATATCAGAACTTCCGGAAATGACAAGCAACTCGGAACATTTTGGGGAATTTTTTCAGTTCGTTTACATCTCTTGTATAACTGTACTTATTGTTGATCGGACGGAAGATAAGCTAATGTAGTTCAGAGCTGTCAAGTGTCCCGCGAATGGCGGGATTATCCCGGGAATTTGACCAAAATTTGGCTTATTCGCGTGTCCCGCAATGTCCCGCAAATGACGGCTTTGACCTCCGCGAATTTTCAAAATTGTAACAATCCCCGAGGCTAAATAATTGTGATTATCTTGTGATATAAGAAGCTAAGCTTTTTGCACTTTTGAGGAGTCAAGTTTACCTAATTTGAAAAGTGCTGCCGAACTCCCAGTGCATCAGATCATCGAAGACTGTTTTTGGAAAGAGCATATAGTACACTTATAAAACTACGATTTTGATCCAAATAACACCATAGTTGGCTTCTAGCAGCATGCCGTTTGGTATCAAAATAAAGAGGAAGAGTGCAAATTTCATTTTAATTACGGAAATAGGGATGTATGTCACGATTAGTTCCAACGTTGGCCTTTTTACTACGCGTGTCACGGCCTTCGTCTCAGAACTGAACAAATGTTAGCAAATGCGAGTTCCAATAAATGGACACTGATATCTCGAAAAGAAACCTGACTCCCTATAATTTGATGTAGAATAATCGAACCCCTATATGAATAGGTACATTTTGATATATAACACTATGGGGGTAAATGTTTCATCGTTGGTCACGAACGCCATGAGTGCAAAGTATTCACAAGAATTTTTGAATTTCGTGTCGGATTACGGTACTCACACCTAAAGCGTGGTTTTTTGATAGTTTAATAATAGTTCTATGCGTATTGTGTGGAATTGTGTGGTGAATTGTGTTGACGTTTACTTAAGTTAAGCGCATTATATTTGATAAATTGAGAAATTTTACAAGTAAATTTTCTATTAATTACAATACAAACCTATTCCATGACATATGCTAATACCCCTAATTTGGAAAAATGGGCAAGTCCAAAAACAACAGGATAACCTGAATCCCTCTAGGTCAACTGACCTAACACCCCTTTATATGCTATATCTTCATAATTGTACGCAGTAAAACTTAAAAATACTGCGGGGAGGCCGGGTGGGCCTATGGTCATGGAATAGGTTTGTATTGTAATTAATAGAAAATTTACTTGTAAAATTTCTCAATTACATACAATCCAACCTATTCCATGACATATGCTGAATTCAAAGTAAAGGAGGTGGGACCCCGATTAAGCCAAACGTATAATAAATATATATACACAAGTACTTATAATAAAAAGTAAATTCATATTACCAAAAAGTACTCTGATCTCACAAACCATAGTGATCCCTAGTAGAACAGCCACCGTCATCCATTGTAAGGCAGAGGCTGTGACACATCTGTATAACTGTTATTGTCCTATCATAGTGAGCAGTCTTAGCCATCTAAGGGTAATGACCAACTCCTATGAATAGAGACTGGTTAACCAAGGATGGGCCGTTTAACCAAACGAGGCAACCTTGCAGTTCTTCAAGGGTCCAGGTCTCAAGCTAGTTGAGTTGAACCCTTCTGCAAAACAGTTCAGCTACACATCTGGGAGACTGTATGTCCTTTCACAGTGAGTATCCTTACCCATCTAAGGGTTGCGAATAACTCCTATGAATAGAACTGGTTAGCCAAGGATGGGCCATTTAACCAAACGAGGCAACCTTGTAGTTCTTCAAAGGTCCAGGTCACAAGCTGGTTGAATTGAACCCTTCTGCAAAACAGTTCCACTTACACAAGAACTGGATAGACAAGGAATGGCTGTGTACAAGATAAAGACAAACCAAGTCCACCCAGTGTTACTTCCAATCACCAGACAACAGTGCAATACTGAGTTGGTAACAAGTTGCAGAGTACTTAAAGTTGTATATAGTTCTTGAAGCTGTAGACCCACCTGCAGCTTGGATGAGATATACATGAGTTAATCCAAGCCATTGTTGTAGTTCTTGTCAGTGTAGACAAAGGCATCATCCTTTCATCCATTGGAATTCTAGGAAACTGCCAAATAAATCAACTACCATGAGTTACAGCACAGGGTCCTAAAGGAACCAGTCTTGCATACAAAGTGAGGTGGTACACACTACAGCTTGTCTTGTATCTGCTTTCAGAGTTGGATGTTAGTTGAATAAACATCAAGTCTGGACCAGCGATGATCATAAAGCCGTTTCAGCCAACTTGTAGAATGGTTTAAGGACATAGAACAATACCACTACACATCTGCTAAGTGCTTCTTCTTTTGGATCCATAACAAAGTTACATGGAGCAAGACACCTCCGTAGACCCAGCCAGTCGAGGTTGGTACAGTCACCAGATAACTACAAGGATAAGTCAAACCATCTTCTTTGTAGTACCAATTAGTATTCATCATAGAACAGATCAACCATTACTGCTGACCTGGGCAAGAAGAGACATCTTCCATCTGGCCAAAACAAGTTGTTCAATGGACAAACTAGTGCATCTAGACAGTCTATCCATCTGTATAAAACTGTAACACAGCTACCCTAGTAGACACAGTGGCACATCAAGCACAAAGTAGAACAGCATACAGGTCCATACTTATCTATGAAGGATTAGTATGGAGATGAATCTAAAGGTGGTTGGAAACAAGCTTGCATTTGATGGTAAACTTGTAAGACATCTTTAAGAAGGTGAGGATATCACTGATATGATTGTCTATAGTGGCCATAGCATAACAGAAAGTATTCTACTGCCATCAAAGCACTGCTAAGTTTTGTTCCCACGAAGAGCTTGGCTTGGAATGCAACCTTCAATTGTTGTATTCGGCATTGTAGTTGAAAACTATTGGATTGTGGTTAGAACATCCATCTGTCCAGGTTGTAAACAGCAAACATCATAGCTAGTGCTGCAATTTTGACAGAATACTGCAGAAGAATTCAGAACCTCACTGGATCAACAAAATTCTTGGCCTGGAACCAAAAACTTTTAAATGTTCTTTTTTTTTTTTTCACAGGCTTGCAAAAGGCAGACTAGTGGTATCTTCAATGGATAGTACATCTATCTGTCTATAAGAGTACATGTATAACAGCATTGAACGTAGATGCTGCTACAAAAGGAAGCACTACTAGTATAGTATGAGAGTATAGTAGTGCTAGATCCACCAAAATCTGTGTCCAAAAACGTAACCTTTAAATTCATCCAGGTTTGTAGTTGGCATCACTGGTTGACAAGAATAGTCCGCTTTTCTCCCGGGTCTGTCTAAAGCTACCAAGAGCATACATCATGGATGTAGGTGTATAGGAACACTACTGCAGTATGTAGTAAGGTAGTTCTGGATCCACAAAGTTCTTGACTTGGAGCATAACCTTTGTAGATCAAACTTGGCTTGGAGTTGAAACTCTAGTATCAACAGCATAAACATCAGGCCCGCATGGTCATCGAAGTACTACTGCATGTGTCTACCAGTCAAATGTTGGATCCATACAACGCTTGGTCCAAGAACATTACTTTTCAGTAGTCTTAAGCCAAACTTGCAGTTGCTCAAGGGAAAAAACTATATCATAAAAAACATGATAAGTTTATCCAATTGGTTAAAACTTCCAGCCTTTTACTAGTTAAATAGTAGTATTAGTACTATGAACATGAACTAGTAATAATATAAAACCAAAAGAAGTCTGGACTGAAGTGAAACCTTAAAGCAATCCAGGCCCAAAAAGCCCAAGATTAATTCCACAAATAAGGTGACTTGTAGTTTCTCAATGGAAAAAACAATATCATAAAACATGATTAGTTTATCCAATTGGTTAAATCTACCAGCCTGTTCTAGTTAAGTAGAAGTATACGTACTATGAACATGAACTAGTAATAAAATAAGACCAAAAGGAGTCTGGAACTGGAGTGATACCTGAAGGCAATCCAGGCCCAAAGACCACAAAGATTGGTCAGTTTATCCAAGTGGTTAAAACTACCAGCATTTTACTAGTTAAATAGTAGTATTAGTACTATGAACATGAACTAGTAAAAAATATAAGACCAAATGAAGTCTGGAACTGGAGTGAAACCGTAAAGCAATCCAGGCCCGAAAACCACAAAGGCAACTTTCACAATCAAAGGGATGTGTTTTCAATATTAGATGAAAACCACCTTGTTTGAAAATAATAACCAATCCACGAATGAATAAGTACTATGGTTATGAATAAAAACGAAAATGAAAGAAAACAGGCTCCAGATAATAAAAATGAGAGCCCATCACTTAGAAGCATGTTTAAACACAAGATTCATGGTATAAAGAACCTGAACCGATGTGTAGAATCCTCTCTTCTACTGTTGATTGAATAATATAAAAATATATTTCAATCAATAAACTCATGATCTTATCAATTTAAGACAAGATTCAAACATGTGTGAAGGTACACCGCTTATAAAGAAACATATAGTTACTTAGAAAATATGCATGAAACCAATCAATACCAGAAAAGGAGTGATTGATAAGTAGCTGTTCAAGAGTATGAAGCATATTTTAAGGTGAGCCACTCCTTAAAAAACTGTCGTTAGGGTAAAACTAACCAAAAGATTCTAAGACACAGAGTGGACCTGAGATATGTAGATAAACAATAATGTAGATCTCCATAAAGAGACACAAAAGTACAAACAAACAAACAAACAAAAACTTAGTAAAAATTATCCTTGTAAAATTAAAAATAATGAAACAAGATTTGAAAACCAAGATATCCAAAATGATTGTAGAACAAACATCCTATGCCCTGGTATAAATAAAGAATGAATACGTTGTGACCAGAAGGCATTAATGAGCCATTCAATGTATCTTAAAGTAAGGCTTCTGTAAACTAACTAATTTTACACGAATGTAAAATTAGACCTAAAAATAGTTGATGAATAAGAAATACAAAAGTAAAAGCTGAGTGTATCTGTAAGCAGAAAACAAACAGAACATAGAAAACAAGTGATGTGAAGAGTAGCAAGTGAATGAAACGTTCACATCTCTTAAAATGTCAAAAAACTAATATTTTAAATTAATTGACTGCTAAACCACACAATTCCATAAAGTGCTGGAACCAAGAACCCTACAAAGGGTGTAAAGTGATTGTGAATAAAGATGAGAATTAACTACATCTATGAACAATGCAGATTCAATCCAACTGAAAAATATGTTATCTAGTCAAGCTAGTTACTAAACTAGAAACAAAGTTGAGACTAATTCCCGAGTAATAAAAAGTAAGACAAAGAAACAAGAAAGATCAGCAAAAAGATCTTTCAATATTAATAATTTACACTCATCAATAAGTAGAGTTCTTAGAAAAACTCCACCTATTCATAATCCCTGAACACAACATTTCAAAAAAAGAAAACACTGTTCAGTGGATAAGCACAGCTTGAATGTAATGATTACTGAGTGAAAAACTAAGGAATAGTCATTCAAAACAATGAACTCCAACAAAGCTACTGTAGGTGCATGAATAAGGGGAATAACCTTATGAACCTAGAAGGCCATCATTACACAATAGTATAGTCATGAACTCGAAGGATTAGAACCCTAGGGCTAGTAAAAATATACTAGTATAGGGTTAAAGAGTAAAGGTCCCTTATAGAAAGGTTCAAGGTATGAGTGAAAAACCTTTACAAAAAAGATAATACAAGCCAGGGGTCAAATAAAGTTCAACTGGGTCTGAACTTATTGTCCCAAAGACAAGCTAGGCTAACCTAAAGTTGACTGTTAGCTAAGCGTGTAGCTTGAAAATAAAATCCATGGAAGGATTACCTAAAAACTGACCTGTTTCTAGTGTTAGAAGTACACTAAAATACAACCACAAATGAGCTCACTGCACTGAAGAATGACTTGTGACTCTGTCCAAGTACCTTCTGCTGCTGAGGAGGCCCTGCTGAGGTATAGTCTTGAAGATCTACCATGGGATGGTGGGCACCAACTCCCTCAGTAAACTGCTACTCAAGTTGTGCATGCTTCTAATAAGCACCTTGCTGTCATCTGTGCCAGTTCAGATTGTAGATTTTCCGACTTCTGTAGACTATCACGTTGACTAGGTTCCCGTAACAAGCTGGTAACCCCTAGTCCTGCATATATCTGCCATCAATTTACCAATTATCTAAGAAACTTCTAGCAGATAGAGTAAAAAACTGGACTCTAAAATTTTTCCACTTTTCCATACATAGGCAAGTACAATTATGAAGATATAGCATATAAAGGGGTGTTAGGTCAGTTGACCTAGAGGGATTCAGGTTATCCTGTTGTTTTTGGACTTGCCCATTTTTCCAAATTAGGGGTATTAGCATATGTCATGGAATAGGTTGGATTGTATGTAATCAGTATCTGAAAGTTTGATTCAAGAGTACTTTTACATTAAAAATCCCTTGAAAATCCCGCGAATTTAGGGCACTTTGTCTAAAAAAATTATCCCTCTATGAAGTCTTTGGTGGTTACCCTGTTAACTGTCCTGCAAGTAGCGTGTTCGTCCCTCGAATAGTCCTGCGAAATTGATCAAAATTTGACCTTTTAGCGCAATCACGCAAATCCCTTAAATGTCCCGCGAAATCCCGCGAATTAAGGTGGATGTCCAGCAAAATCCCGCGAATTTTTGGCAATGGGTCTAAAAAATCTGTCCTGCGAGAAAATCTTTGGGGGTTGACAGTACTGGTAGTTACATTGGAGTTTGTTTACTACCATTTGGAAGGCACGTGAGGGTCCCATCCATCAGGTAACACTTATATGTCGAAGTTAAGTTCTTGCCTTTTTAACACTGTAACAAGGAGTAGGTATGAAATATTTCAAAGAAAATGCGTGACATATACGATATCTGCGTAAAAAGTTCGATCGAAATGCGTTGTTTCTTTTTTAAGCATTCGGTTTTGTGGTGTATCGGAGATTCTTCAGGTAGGGGGTTCAGTCACTTCTGGGTTTAGTCCGGACAACCTCAAAATTATGCAATTACAGCTATTATATGCCAACTTACTATGTCATGTGTTATTATTTCAATATAGATGCACTTGTCACCTATGATTCTATGTTTATTTACTTCATTTTTTTAATTTTGGCAATTTTATGACAGAAAAACCATCAAAATATGTAAAAATAAGCATATTTCTGCATATTTACTCATCCAAGATGGTGGCCAGAAATTTTGAATGTCACACCATTTTTCCAACTCAAACCCTCCATTGATTATGAAATATGAAATTCAGAAATCTTAACAACCAAGTTGTTGTATCTAATAGTTTACACTCTGGGTGTCACAAAATGATTTTACAGCTGACATCAATAGATATTCCCGATTGAAGTGAAGACATTTTGTTCTAAAAATCCTCATATTTTGGACTTATTTTCTCCCAGATGTCCGGATACTCTTGTAAAACAATGAAGATTCATTTTTGCAATAACTTTGCAACCATTAGTTCAATTTTAAATCCGCAAAGAGCACTATAATCCTGAATTTCACCTCTTCAATATTATCATTATTGCAAGTTATATAGAAGTAAACCAATGACCCGTACTCCTTAAACAAAATTGGTAAATCTATGCATATAATTTCTGCATATTTTCTTATCCAAGATGGCAGCCAGAAATTTTGCATGTCACACTAATTTTCCAACTCAAATCCTCCTTTGACTATGACATATGAAATTCAGAAACCTTAACAAGTCAACTTGTTGTATCTAATAGTTTACACTCTGGGTGTCACAAAATGATTTTATAGCTTCAAACCATAGATATTCCACACTGAAGTGAAGGCATTTTTATAGAAATTCTCAAATTTGGACTTATTCAAAGTTTACTGTCTCCCAGATGTCCGGAGATTTTCAGGAAACATCAAGATGAATTTCCACTGTAACTTCGCAACCATTAGTCCGATTTTAAATATGTAAAAAGCATTGTGATCCTGAATTTTCCTTCTATAATATTATAACTTTAACAAGAGAGTTCTATGGAAGCATCAAAATGACCTGAACCCTACTTCAGGAATATTTTTGCTGAACAATGATCAGGTAAAATGCGTATTTGCGTGACATATTCTGTCATGCAAAACAAACTGGCGTGACTTCAAATTTCACAGCAAATGCGTGACAAATACGCAAATTGCGGGACAGTTGGACGGCCTGTGATAATGGACTCACAAGTTCGTAATTTTTCATTCTAAGAAATCCCAATTGACGATTTCAGAGCTGACTCCTATCAGCTCAATAGAGTAGCACAAATCCATAGTAAGTTGTTAATTTGAAAGCAACAGTTGTAAAGAAAATATGAACGAAACGGAAAAGTGTAAAAAACTGGAAAAAATAAAAAATATGATCTAAAGTGGAACGATTTCGCGTAAATATCGGGCATCGCAGCTTTAAATGAGACAATATAAGTGGGGAAAAATAAGTCCCTGTCGTACTGCAAGTATATTTAATACATACTAATCTGAAATATAGTAAAATTTAACAAAATAGTTCAAAAATTTTGGAAGTGCTCACCTTGAAAACCGGAAGCTGGAAACTGTCGACTGCGCATGTGTGAAATGCTGCATTTGATCATTCACGAAATTTGAGATAAGAGGTGGATAAAATTGGGGACCAGTGTATATAGATGAAAGGTTGTCCTTCTTGATTTCTGGGGTGTTTTCATATCTTGAATTAAATTGGGGGGATAAATGTCTCTGAGTGAAAAAATGATGATTCTGAGTTATAGAAAATGAACACTTAATCCATTTTGATCCTAGGTGAAGTCCTTATTGCATGGATATCACACATAAGTTTTGGAGTTAGACTTCTCCAAGTACCTTTTAAAAAAGACAAGTATCATCTCGTATCATGTCTTAAGACACATTAATTCCCCGACCGCCCTCCATTCAGTCCCCCCCCTTCATTCAATCTTAATTATTTTCTATTATTTTTATATTACATATGGACAGTCACTTATAAACTCCCATAGGGATTTTCCTGATTTCCTCTAAAAAAAGTTCACTATCCTTGTGCCATTGAAAGTCATCAAATGCAATATTTTGTTGTGATGTTATTCAATGTGCGTTAGATCATTTGGCATATTGGGGTGTGGTAGTGCTTTCAGAATTTTTTTATTCTACACTGTGTTTATACTGTGTTATTCTCCTTCGCCTTTACCTTTTTGGCATATGTGCTAAGATTTTGCTTACCCTCTGTAAAGAAAAAAGGTGCATAATCCTTTACCAATCATATCTTTTTTATTTTTAGTTATTATCATTCCAAACTTTCAGAGAAGTTAGAAAGGATTGAATATAACAACTCCCGAAATCCTATATATATGCTTTTGAAAAAAATTGGTCAATTTGAAGCAAGATGAAAACAGACCTTTTCACCTTGAGAATGTCATTGAAGATCAAATATTTTTTACCTTAAGAATGTCATTCAAGGTCAAATCTATAATCAGATTTGAACTTTTGAAAACTTGTAGTTGATTTTGAAAAAAAAATTGGTCAATTTGAAGCAAGTTGAAAAAGACCTTTTTGAATTTTTTGACCTTGAGAAGGTCATTGAAGGTCAAATCTCAAATCTAAAGTCAGATTTGAACTTCTGATAACTTGTAGATGATTCTGAAAAAAATTGTCAATTTGAAGCAAGTTGAAAAAATACCTTTTGATCTTTAGGTCATTGAAGGTCAAATCCCAAATATAGTCAGATTTGAACTTCTAATAACATGTAGATGATTTTGAAAAAAATTGAAGTCAGTCTAAACAGTATTTGTTATTGAAGTTGTAAGAATTTGTTACAGATGACGATCGCCAACCGCCATCCGCTGTAAAAACGGAGACCATAACAATATGTCACAACTTTTTGGTGGTGACATAAAAACAATGAATTGAATTTATCCTTTAAAACACAACATATCATTCATAAGTTTCTTATGAGTGTACAAAATTTATTTCACTGCCAATAATTGCTTTACCAGTTCACAAAGACAAATTTTATTGTTGTAAAATACAGGCCGATATTTACTCTGTCCTGTGTGTATAACTAAGCAATCCCAGACTCGGAAATAACATCTCACATTTTATTTATGTTGGTCCTTTCAGGTTTTCCACATCACACTTAAATCCATTTCACAAAATGGTCATGGAATTTTGAAGTATGATATCGGTATACCTTGAGTATATGCAGAATGAAATCCTGTTCTTATTTTCCTGTTGTGTTGTACTTTTTGGTAAAAGTCACATTCATGATCTAAACTATACAGTTTTACACATATGCAATGTATAGATTCCATGAATACTTTTGAAACCGCACAATCTACAATAAAGTGCCAATAAAAATATTCATAAAAAGATGGGAAACAGTCCAATTTCCATTTATCTAAAGATTCCACTTGCATGATGTTAAGGATGTAAACTTTCCAATGGTGTATCAAAATATTCCCTACACTAAAATTGCCATAATTCAAATAAAAATATAAGACAATCGATTTCTTGTCAGAGACAATCATTTCTTGTAAGGGTAATGAGTGTTGTAAATTGTCACTGTGTCTGTCTACATGTTCTATGGAGATGTACTTGTGTACATTTGTCATTTTATGGTTTCCATAGTTTCAAGAGTCCATCTTCTGAGTAAGTCCCAATCAGATTCTGATGAGGATGGTGTACAATTCCTATCACATCTTTTTCATGGACCTAGAAACAATAACGATACATTAAATAATTTCAGTTTACCCTTTGTTTATAGTATCCAAAACATTTTGTGGCATAATTTGAGCAAAACTTGCGTGGGGTATTATGTTATCAAAGTTGAAAGAAGGGATTTGATTAATCTCTTCCATTAGAGTCTCACTAAAATAGTACTCATGTTATGTTATGCATTAAGGGTCAAATCAATGATTGAAGACCTAATCCAGAAGTGAGGGAGACCAATTTATAATTTCTAGTTACACTGCACATAAGTGAATTAAAGTACATATTCTTCAAATGTAACTTACTGTAAGAGTCCTCTCTAATTTCCCACTGGAGATACTGAAGCAATACAGCACCATGTCTTCCCCCACACAGTATATCCACTCTCCCCTTGGTGATACAGTGCAACATACAAAGTCCCCACCCTCTCTTTTACCACTGGAGAAACTTCTCACAATCTGGAATATAAAGTAATGGTCAGTTCGAGTCAATTGGAGTAACATGCATTTGGTATGCATAGTAGCTAAGGCATGAAGTAAATACAATTCAAACATGACCGTGCTCTATTCGAATTTCTCAACCAATCAGAATGCAGCATAGCCAATATAGAACGTTCTCTAATTCTTCATAGATGCACGACCATGCTCTATTCAATCTGCAATTTGCATTGTTTTGAGTGACGTCACATCTCAGCTGCACATCTGGGGCTCTGTCCGGGGATAGCTGTTCTTTTTTACTCCCTATTTATTTTTATTTTATCAACACCCCATGTTTGCATACACCGTATAAAATCTAAAACGGGGAGTAAAATAGAACAGCCCAAACAAATTCTAAAATTTTTCAGGCCGACTTCAGAATCTTGACAGCATGCGTATTCTTCCTTCATGCCCGTTCCACAGACACGGCTTTTACCAATTTTTATGTTTGAATCGGAATAAATAATGATAGGCCATTCAATATGGTGAAATTCAGCACTCGTTGGACAGAATGTTAGTACAAATGCACTCACCTCCGGTTCGTGCTTTGTACAACATTCTGTCCAACTCGTGCTGAATTTCACCATATTGAATGGCCTATCATTATTTATTCCTTAAATAAGTCATAATTCATAGTTCTTTATTCTCATGGCCAAATAATCATTAATGTTAATTTTCATGAGAAAGTTTACAGATAAATCGGTAAAGGAATAGGCACACGATATGGATTTTTTAAGTGATACATTTCTAAGGTATGAGATCTATTTTAAATTATTGAAATATTGCTATTCATGCATTTCCATTCTTATTTCACATAACAAGGCAAGAAATGAAATAATTTATAGAGAAGTTTTACCTGTCCCTGCATGTTCATTATGACCACTGTGTTAGATCTGTTACAAACAACAAATTGTTCCACATTTCTAGGGAGAGGGTGCACACTATGGACTGTGATATCACTTCCTGCTACTCCACCTAGTGACTTGAATGTGTTTTGACATTCAGTACTTTTAAGATTCCAAACTTTGATGGTGCCATCAGAACTTGTGCTAGAAAAGACAATTTTTTTCATAAGAAAACATGCTGGTCTACAACACTGATAATAGACGTTTTTGTAAAGTTTTTATCTATTATTTGTTTTCAATACACTTTATGCCAAGTTCTGTCTTTCAACTGAGCATTGATAAATAAAAAGGTAAATATAAGGTTTGTTAGAGTTATTTTTATAAAAAATATTACGATGGTGCATTGTGATTTTATTTCTTTTCAGACTGGACCCTAGTACACATTCTCCCCTCAATAGAATATTATGTCAAGTTTCTTCACAATCCTACCTGAGAATATGGTGTCCATCTGGAGCAAACACGGCATCATTCACAAATGATGAATGACCTCTGAACTCCTTCAATGCCTTCCCTGACTTTAAACCATGAACTCTACAAAATATTAATATTTATACGTGTAAAATAGGATTAACAAGATCCAATCATTTTGCATAATTCTTATTTACAGTTTTTGTCATGTGAGTTTTTAGTTTTTCTAATTTTGCTCTTTGTGTTTATTCAATGTAACACATAAGTCATATAGCAGGACTCTTACTAAGTTTTTAGACTTTTGAGCTGCCCAACAGTCTATTTAGCTCCCAGCACTACCTATTCGTAAATCATGATTGTTTCTTCATTCTAAACTTGACTCAATACACAATTTTAGCATGTAAAATGGATAAAATATAACATAAACATGATTTATCACAATTGAACAGTTATGGCGAAGATGTTTCCACTACACCCTAAATATTTCAGCAAAAGAGCCCTTTCTATGGTTTATTGATGTATAACACCTATGCACAGTGAGCACTATCAATCTTCATTATTCAGTTATTAGACTGAAATTGCGGTTACTCTTCTGACTTCTGGTTTGGACTCCTGTTTTTGTTTGGTCATAATCACTGAGTTGGTGTATATTTTACCTTATTTGTTAACTTCAGTTGAGTCTCAATACTCAAAGCATTATTTTGATACTTAAAACATGGTCAGAATCGCTTGCAAATCGTAGATAATGAGATAGAAGGACAAATTTCTTACTTTTTTTGGCCAAAGCTCTGTTCATTGACATGACCTCATATCTATTTATTGATCGCCAAGAAATGTTTAAACTGTTTTTTTTCTGACAGGTTAGAAAAATATGAAAGTTGTAACCGGACTTCATTCTATCATACATGTATTAGATATTAGATAGATGGTGCTGACTGCACTTGTGTATTTACACTGATACACAAAATACCAAACATAATATTTCTGGTTTCTATTCTTTCAGAGCACTCACCTTATTGTTTGATCAAATGATGCACTGAGAAGCTGGCTACTGTCTTTAGAGAAACATACACAGGTGACACCTTTACCATGAGCTCTCTCAAACCTCCGCAAACATTGACCTGTACTGATCTTCCACACCTAAAACATTCATATTATCTACCATGTTATTTACTTCATCCATGCATTTCAAATCAAATACATATCAGCACTTGTATTACTTTAACTGATAAGTTCATATACTGTAAAACGGGTAATTTTGACACCGGGAAATTTTAGCGATTTTTCAATTTTAGGGGGTTTTAGCGCGGGAAATTTTAGCGAAATGAAGATTAATCTTTAAAAAATCAAATTAGCGAAATGCATCAGAAATTTTATCATTTTTGGCAGAAGAATGAATAACAAACATGACAGAGGAATAATCAAAATGTAAGACTTCTAACGCACATGGTATTGGTCCAAACTGGATGGATGGCTATTTATCCTTCAGATATTGAAAGAAACATATGATTTAAAAATATTTACCTTTTTCAAATTACAAACCGGAAGTCGAGCACAGAACGAAAAGCTCCTTAAATACTTGTATTCATGTAGTTTCCTGGGAATTTGCAAATTTTACCGCCCGGTTTATTTTAACCCCGGTTTATTTTAGCGAATTAAATTTTTAGCGAAACTATAGCGATCGCTAACAATCGCTAACAATTACCCCTCGCTAACAATACCTGTTTTACAGTAATCCGTAATTAAGCTGTTTTAGTGTTTATGCAGAAGAAAACGAACCTTAATTTTCCCATCTTGTCCCCCAGATGCCAGCATCTCTGAGTCTCTGCTGAAGTTCATTGATAAAACTGCATCATCCATCATCATGAAGTTATCCTGGAACGGAAAAATTAAGGTTATTGCTCTATAGGTATATTTAGAAGCTCACTAGTGTACTTTCAGAAACCAAGCATTACATTAACTAACATGGCCATAAGTTCTGACATTTTGTATATCAATTTTAAAGGTTTTATATGTATGTAGAGCAATGTATAGAGAGCAATGTCCTCTTTCATGATATCATGAGACTTAGCTATCAATGCATTTATACACTTCATACTTGATTCCCTGAAAAACTGTGAGAAAAATGTCATTTAGGGAAAACATAATGAATCTGAGTAGAGACATACTAACCTGAGCCTGGTACTTGAGATCCTTTCTAATCTTGCCTGTTGTGAAGTTCCACACCTCTAGGAAGCCGTCGACAGATCCAGTGACGAGATATTGGCCATCTGGTGAGAACCTTGTGCATTCTACATGAGACTTCTGGCCAAACTAAAAGTAGACAAGCCTGACATTAGTGATTTGAATTGACATGGTATATGTAACAAAGCTGACCTCCAACTGAATGTAAGATAATGTGATAAATTGATTAAGACAAATTCAAATAAATGTACAAGGTTAAACACAAAAATACAACTTCAATATATGTAGTACAGTACAGTTAGTACAGTTAGTACAGTATGGTACAACACAGTACAGAACAATACAGTTCAGTAAAGTACAGAATAACACTGTTCAGTACAATGCAGTATTACTGTAGTACTTTATGACACATCACAATTATTACCATCTTGAAAAAGTAATACAAAAGTGTGATACCTTAATGCTTTTACTAAGCTGTGTTGGGTATCTTTCATCTTCTTGTTCTTTCACTGCAGCCTTTCCCCTGAACACATCAATTGTGGTACCTGGAACATCAATGATATATCTACAAATGTTTTCCTTCAACTTATTCCGATGAATTTGATTTACTACATTTTGTAAATAAAGGCAGCTTGCCAACTTACAACTTACATGTAGGCTAGTGAGGAATTTTGATGACAACATTTGATTTATGTGGTGCCCCACCCTCATCAGCAAAAGACACTTTTTCAATGAAAGTGCAATAAAAAGGTTTGTGTGATGCTTCCAGTATTGAATTTCAAACCGAAATGTTTATTTTAATGAAACAGACAACCTTCGTTAAAATATTAAGGTATGCTCCTTACCTGGAGGGAGCAATCCTTGATGCTGCTGCCATTTGAGGGCTTGACCAAGGAGGGCAAGAAGACGTGAAGGAGGGACAACATTCACCTCTCCAGACAATGCCTGAGCTATAGCTGCCCTTCGTCTTTCCTTAGTCTGACCTTCTGGGTATGCCTAGAGTAGAAATGTTAAATTCATATCATATAAGTAGGTAGTAAATTAGGATTGATTTATGAGAGAGACTTTGATTACAACTGACCATTTCAAATGATGCATGCAAGAATCAGGCAACAAGAGAATAGGAGATAAATGTGAAAATGGTACCTAAGGTTATTAGAAGTTGGTTCATCCTGAACATAAGGCCAGTGGATATTTTGTTCAGAACAGCACTCAGTTGTGCATATTTTGAAACAATTTTGAGAAGTGCTTGAAGTTTTATAACAGAATGAGTGCATATAGGTTGTTTATTCAATTACTATTCAACAACTATTTATTCAACACATTCTACATCTTAAAAGATATAAATTTCCCAAACCATGAAGCATTCTTATGAAACTGGAACCAGTCAATTGAAAAGGTGGAAACATTCTTGAGAAGGCTACATCAAACTACTTATAGGCAATTTCCAATGGTTTACCTCACGAGGATCAAAGTAGGATCTTGCCAGCATGTTCTCAAGATGCACATATCTGTCAGCTTGACTCTGTTTCATCATGATCATGGGATCTGTCTGTCTTAGTAATGATCTTGCAGCACCCAACTCTCTCAATTCTATCAGTTCTAGAACAATCTGTAAGTAAATAAGCCATGTATAGATGTCATCATAAACATGCATTCTGTCTAAGTAATGATCTTGCAGCACCCAACTCTCTCAATTCTATCAGTTCTAGAACAATCTGTAAGTAAATAAGCCATGTATAGATGTCATCATAATCATGCATTGCAGCACCCAACTCTCTCAATTCTATCAGTTCTAGAACAATCTGTAAGTAAATAAGCCATGTATAGATGTCATCATAATCATGCATTCTGTCTAAGTAATGATCTTGCAGCACCCAACTCTCTCAATTCTATCAGTTCTAGAACAATCTGTAAATAAATAAGCCATGTATAGATGTCATCATAATCATGCATTGCAGCACCCAACTCTCTCAATTCTATCAGTTCTAGAACAATCTGTAAGTAAATAAGCCATGTATAGATGTCATCATGAACATGCATTCTGTCTAAGTAATGATCTTGCAGCACCAAACTCTCTCAATTCTATCAGTTCTAGAACAATCTGTAAGTAAATAAGCCATGTATAGATGTCATCATAAACATGCATTCTGTCTAAGTAATGATCTTGCAGCACCCAACTCTCTCAATTCTATCAGTTCTAGAACAATCTGTAAGTAAATAAGCCATGTATAGATGTCATCATAATCATGCATTCTGTCTAAGTAATGATCTTGCAGCACCCAACTCTCTCAATTCTATCAGTTCTAGAACAATCTGTAAGTAAATAAGCCATGTATAGATGTCATCATAATCATGCATTGCAGCACCCAACTCTCTCAATTCTATCAGTTCTAGAACAATCTGTAAGTAAATAAGCCATGTATAGATGTCATCATAATCATGCATTCTGTCTAAGTAATGATCTTGCAGCACCCAACTCTCTCAATTCTATCAGTTCTAGAACAATCTGTAAGTAAATAAGCCATGTATAGATGTCATCATAATCATGCATTCTGTCTAAGTAATGATCTTGCAGCACCCAACCCAACTCTCTCAATTCTATCAGTTCTAGAACAATCTGTAAGTAAGTAAGCCATGTATAGATGTCATCATAATTAAAGGATTGTCTGTCTTAGTAATGACGAAGCATCTAGTTTTATTCAAGGAAGTACTCGTACCTGTATTTTCAGAAATGTGCAGTTTCCCTTTTCTATTAATAATAAAAATAGTGAACTCCATTGATCTTGTAAGAATAAACATCCAAATGCAATTACTCAGATGCGAGTAGGTTGTTACCAGTTTCGCCAACAGGTAGCTGATTCGGGGGAAATAACATGGCAGGGTATTACAAAATTCCCTTAAACTTGAATATTCATCAGTTTTAGTGGTTCACTTTTCATATTACCCTTTTGTATCTGATAGTTATACAAATTGAAATATGCCCAGTAAAAGAAAATATTATCTGCCCAACACAAGAAAAGATATCTCACTTTTTGTGCTTTTACAACATGGGGTCTATGGGGAATCTCCCGACCTAGAAGTCACATTTTCAAAGAAAATTAAATTTTTGAAGTTGATAAACTATTTTCCAAACATCATTTCTAGATGTAATTTTACATGTAGATTCCAAATATGGTATCAGTTTGACTGAAGTTTGAATTTTTAATGATGTAAATCAAGATTATTTTTACTCGCATCTAGTCTATTGCAGTACATTTGCATTTAAAGTTAGTTTGATAAGATGGCCTTCTTCTAATAATTGATGAATTGTGTGATTATTGAACCAAGTATTTCTGGATGGAATTAATGATTATGCACATATAAATGTAGACACTAAAGATAATCCAGGATCCAAGAGTACTCACAAGAATACAATGCTAATTAATACATTGCTAATTAAGGATCAATCCAATACTTTCTTAATTCTAGACTGTTCTTCATCTTGTAAGAATATTTGTTCCAAATGCATGAAATGTTTAATCAGTTTATTATTGATTGCCAAATGCGACATTCGGATGATTGAGAAATGAATTATGCAACAGACTTGAAACCATACTCCATACTTATTGACAAACTTTGCTATGGCTACTAATGTGTATTTGCCCAGTAATGATAAGGCATCTACTTTCAATTAATAATTAAGGGAAAATCTTTCGAAAAACAATTCAAGCTTGAGTTAACAACAATAGCCTTTTTCTGAGAGTGGGCTTCAAATATAATGATATGATCCATCATCAACTGACTAAATATAAGAACTATATCAAAGGGATAAAGGTCTAAGAAAAGTAGATTTATACTTGTACATTTCAAATACTGTAGTGTAAAATGGCCAGAAATTTACTGTTAAAAATTACTGGAAGTTTTGAAAAATAAACTTCTCCCACTATGACACCCTTTTACAGTTACAAAAATTGATAGACTCAAAATTGTCTCGTACATATGGATCTCAGAGTAGGGAGTGCCATTATTATAACTCGAGAAACATAGGGAATCATGTTCTTAATATGTCAGTAAATCCAATGTTTGAGAAGAAAATACTGAAAGCATCATTGTTCCTCAAACATAGATTTTTGGTATAAATTACAAATGCTCAGAAGATATCATAGCTGGTTGTGAACTAGTTCCAATTTAATCAACTACAACTTTTGGATGAATGAAATGTGGTTTATGGATTGTAGTAATGGTTCCTGAAAGGTTGGAGAAGGGGATATTAGACATTGACTTTTGGATATGAGATCATAGATTGTGATTACATGTGTATTCATGTCCAGTACCAAATCAAATGCTGACAAAATTTCTATGATTTGAGAGCACACTGGTCATTAGGAAACTAAAAAATATAAAATCAAAGAGATTTAAAAAGAATTTTGGAGAATCAATAAATCTTCTACAAGAACACCATAAAACGATTAATGTTAAAAACATTGATATAAATTATTCTGAGAGCCCTATTCATACTAAAGGTGTCAATAAACAATTTTTATGCTATTAGTAAGTAGACCTTGTAATGCATTTTAATATTTTATTCATTGCAATCAATACATTATTGTTTAGAACTCAGTCCATTTTCATTTCCACTTATATCTAAATGGACCAGTAAGAGTAGAATACCATTGATTGTTGTCTTAATGGGAATGGGAATTCAATGTTTCAACTTTGAATAACCTATTCAAAGGTTTAATAGGTGCCAGGAATTAAGATACATTTCAATTATATTTTTCTAATAATTGCTCACGAAGCCATTATGTAAGTTCATGAATGGCTCGCCATGCAAATAAAAGTTTCTTAGGTAGATTACAATTTAACGGAAAATGATTAAATCGATATGTCCGATTCGTAATTTAGAAATGCAAACAGTGTACAAATTGACGTCAAATAATTCATCAAGTGATTGGCTAAAAATTATGCTCAATAATGTCAGTTAACTAAATCATTAGCCAAAAGATTCAACACAGGAAATTAGGAGAGAATATAAGTCAGAATATTTAATAACTATAGATTTCATAAGACTCTCTCAGGAAAGTATAATTGTAATTACAAAATTCCAGTGATGGAAAACAGGAACACTATTCATAATTTGCTCATACTGTTGATAACAATCAGACATCAGACAACTCCACAAAATAAGAGAATAAAAATATCACTTAATAAATACAAAATGTCAAAAAACGAGAGCAAATTATCATTACATGAAAACATTGTGTCAGAAGATAAAAACAAAATGTCAGAACATAACTTAAACAAACTTGAATTTTTTCCACCGAATGAAGAGGACAATAAATCAAAATCAACCAAAAACATAAAAATTGATATTGAAAAAAGCCCTGGGTTTAAAAGTAAAACAAACAAAGTGAGCGACATTGAGAATGAACACCAACAAGAAGATAAAGACCTCGATAAAATAACTAAACTTCGAGACAACTTACTTACAGATATCAATGCCAAAGATAAGGAGGGTTTCACAACAGATATTGAAGAGTACAAGAAACTGAAAGCAGCTGGAATTATATCAAGATTGGGTGAACCAAGAATGTGTGTGAGAGAGGAGACAACATTGTTGCGTTTAGCAGTTATTGCGAAATTTGATGAAGCTGCTACAACTCTCCTGAAACTAAGTGATATGGAGACAATTTTTAAACAACACACAAGAAATCAAGAATACATAGGAGGAACAGTTCTACATGATGCAATCGCTAATGATATGCAACAAATCGTAAAACTTCTTTCAGAGAAGCTCACATTTGAGGATTTTCATTGCTTGATGGCCTGTCAAGCAACTGGGACCTTCTTCAAGGACTACTTTCAGGGTTATGAGTTACCATTGGTGATTGCATCCTGGGTTGGGAATTTCGAGATGGCTAAGTTACTACTCCAGATAGATCCACATGGAATATACCTTAAAGACACAAGTGGAAATAATCTGCTTCACAGCCTCATTCTGATGTGCGATGAAGAAAATGAAGATGTGACAAACTTCACAACAATGATGTATATGATGATTTACGAAGCAGAAGGGGGAAAGGTAGCTCTGCAGTATATGTTAGAAATGACAGACAACAATAATCAAACACCAATGATGTTAGCCATCAGAAAAGGAGAGTTCAGATTTGTCCAGCTTATCCTCAACACTGTTTATAAAGAAACAGTAGGCAAATACGGACCTGCATCATTCGTTAACTTTGACATCACAGAAATTGAACAGTATCCAGAAATATCAAGCCAGTCAGGAATTGTATATGTAGGTACATCCTCGAACTGTAAACGCTTTCCTCAGTTACTAAGCCTGCAACCCTGGGATAGATTGCTTAAACTTCGCTGGGATGCATATAAATGGAGCATGTTAATATCTATGCTGATCCAACTTGGCATGTTGATTTGGTTTGCTGTTGTGGTTACAATTACGCCTTCGAATGAAGAATTGGCAGATATGCATAACACAACACAATTTGCTACAAATGAAAGTAAAGAACTGTCATTCCTTGAACAACTTGGGTACTTTGGAACATTTGGCATGGCTCAATTCATAGGAGAGTGTCTTTTTATCTTATATGGAGCTACAGGAGTAGTGTTCCAGACAACAGTCATTTTTGCAATCATTATTGTTTTGAGAGTCAAGGGGAGGTTAACATTTGGTGAGGTGTTCAAGCGAATGTTCAACCCTGTTACAGGCTCTGTAATGTATGCAATTGCATACCTCATCTTTTCAATATGCATGGTTCTTTCCTTCGCATCTAAAGTCGGTGGTCTTGATCGTTCAACAAACACAACAGCTTCAATATGTATTGTATGTGGATTCCTCTGTTTAACTGTCTATTACCGCGCTATTGACTACACATCCTTCTTTACTGTCACCGTCAACAAAATGCTATTTGGTGATGTTTTCAGATTTGTAGTTATCATTACTGGGTACCTTTTTGGATTTGGAACAGCGTTTTACATTTTGTATAAAGATACAGTTGGAGGACCACCAATTGATATGGAGAATTATGGAGAGTCAATCATAACTACATATAAGCTAATGCTTGGGCTTGTTGATTTGAAAACAATGAAGGTGGAATATGAAGGCATTTTGGTGGCCTTTTATGTAACATACACTCTGCTTATGACTGTCATGTTGTTTAACATGCTCATAGGCATCATGGCAAATACCATTAATGACACAGCTGAACAGAAACAATATCTCAGTAAATTACAGCGTTTATCATCAATACTAGTGTTAGAATTTACCCAGTTCTGGTCAAAAGGTTTTGCAACTTGGGCAATCAAGAAAGGCAAACTTCAAATAAAAACCAAGATGTTTGCTGGGAAAGAACAGAAAAGATTGTTTCTTCAATGTATGGAGGTTGACCATAATGAAAGGTTCTGTTTTAGTAAAGAATCAACAGAAAGCAATGTGTTAAGGAGATTGAAGACGCCCTTCTGAGTATAAATGCTTGAAAATAAAATTATATGCACAATAATATGTAGACCAGAATGTAGAAAGATCCACACACCAGAGTGTTTTCAATAAAAAAGAAATCAGAATTTCAGGCTATGTCTTCTCCATCTATGTCTAGAATAAAACCAGTGAAAAAATGTGATGTGTTTCATAAAGATTCGGGTCAATAATATTGGGGGTAATAGGAGAAGTCTTTGTGAGATACAAGACAGAGATTTACAAAATATGAGTATTTCCTTGTATGTACAACCTTTTCCATTTTAATCCATTAACATAAAAAGGGCATCATGTTGTATTGTTATCATTCTGGCCGGTGTCTTATCAATCACAGATTAAATAACACGACAGCTATATAATGATAAAAACAGGGATATATCAATGTATAATAAATGTAACATGTGGAGTATAATTTAGTTACTGTTTAAATAAAAATAAATTTCAAAATGGTTTTGTCTTGTTCCTTCTGAAAATAACAAAAACTAAACAACAGCAACACCAAAGTGTGGCAAATCCCATCGAACTGCCATGGCTGGCTTTTTACAAACGAAATATACATGTATAGCATATACGAGGGTTGTCCCAGAAGTAATGCACTATATGCTCTAACTTTATCAATAATTGATATTTTTCCATGGAATTTTCAGTAAATGTTCCTTAGAGACATTTTGATTATTCTACACATTTTCATGTTGACTGAAAGAACTATATTGATGTTATAATAAATCAAGTTGGTGAGTTTGGGTAGGGTGGGGCAGATAACATAGTCACATCAAAAGGAATAAAATAATGAAATAATTAATCAACAAATACCATTTTGTGTAGCTATAAGAAGTATGCTCAAAAATTTTAAGATAGTAAATTACTATGAGCACATCCTAGATTTAATGGATGTATACTGCACAGTGTCCCATTTCACATTTTCTCAAAATATTGCCCTTTGCATGTTATGTACGTTTGATGTCTGTCAGCAGGTCAAACACTCTTGGCAATTTCTTCCACTGTGACTGGTGGAGTTTTTGCCTCCCATGTTTGGAGTTGTCATTCAGGGTCAAGTCATCTCTTTTAAATCTCTTCTGCCACCTCATAATTGTAGTTTTATCTGGTATAAACTCCTTATATACTTTCTTCATGGTAGCATAAGTTTTGCGTGGCTGTGAATCCAAGTGAAGTATGAAATTAGGCCTTCTGTTATCAGGTGAGAATAGCAGCCATTTTTGCAATTTCTTGACTGTGACTGTATTTGAATTTGTGACTATTGAACTGTGGTATTATGCATGACATCATAGTGCTAAATGTCATTATTTGTACTTGGTTAACATCATGCTGAATAAATTTCACAATTTCACATACATTTTGATCATTTAAAAGAAAGAAATATTAATAAAATAACACTTTGGATCTTTTCATAATTAGAAAAATTGATACATGCCCCACCCACCCTACCCCCATGTTGCTATAGCAAAATTAATTAATATTAATGTTTGATGCTGAAACGAAGGATATAATAGATAAAACTTCAATTGATATGTACACAAAATTTCAGCTGAATGGAATAATATAAAAGAAAGTTAGAGCATATAGTGCATTACTTCTGGGACAACCCTCATATAGTAAAATAACACACATAAGAAAAGCCACCATTCAAAATGGCCGCCTACTACCCAAAGTGTTATTAGACATTGTGCCATGCTTATAGTACTCACATACCATATATGAGCAAAATGGCACTACTACATTTCAAGTTACAGCAAAAATTGCATGGGAAGGTCACCATTTTTCAAGATGGCTGCCATGTGCTTCTTTAATATCTACATTTCTAGCTTTATAAATGTCCTATATAACTTTTTAACAATTAAAACATATTGCTATTGCAGTTTTATATGTTGTACCTAAACTGCTGTAAAATTGGCACCAAAATAGCTGCCATTTTTACATGAGTTGCCATTTTGAAAATTTGCATTGGAGCAGAACTTCTCCTTCAAAAAGGTACATGTCTGTATGAATGGATGTACATATGGACATACTTACGTACGTAAGTACGTATATACTGACGGACGGTTGAGTTCTCTATATCTCTACAAACTTCCTTCGATTGGGTAAATATTGAAAACAAAGATATTCTTCATTAAAACACAGGTACACATAAATAAATGTCAAAAAAGAAGATCAAAAAAGGTTTTTAAAACATTAAAGTAATGGAATATGTACAAACAAAAGAAAAATGATGCATTTATATGTCTGCCCCGTTAAATAAATGATAACCATAGCATTGGGCACTAAGTGAACCCTAAATATAAATGATACTAATCATCTTAAAAGCAATCAAACAGTCTTATAGCACTTAAATTGATGGATTTCAACCAACCTTTTAATAATTTATGCGTTGGATTGCAAAGAATAATAATTATTAGAATCTCCTTTCTTCTTTTTCTATTAAACCAGAAGATGGGAGTGCAATTATCTCATGACTCTTATGGATAATCAATGTTTTTACTTGGCTTTGATTTCTATAACATTACATATTTATTAAAAGCTTTTAACGTGTCAGAAAGGTAATATAAATAGTCTGATTGAGTATTCTTTCTCACCTTTGAGTTAAATGTGATCTGAAGCCCTCTTAGAAAATTAAGATTTTGCATATTATTTTCAACACACTTTAAAGCCAACACTTCTCCAGACAACTATGAAGATGAAAGTTCAATTAATATTACTCTACAGTCAGAATAAGACATGAGCAAGGAAGTGGAACTTTAAGACAGGGTAAATAAAGGACGATTCTCGGTTTGGAGAACGAATTTCATCAATCTAAATGAGCATTATCCCTGCTTCGGACAAATTTGATTTTTTTACATAATATAGATTTGAATGTCTTCTTTTGAATAGTCATAATTTAATTTGGGTAATATTTCTAGATTTTTCACAAAAACATATTAGCGCACTACACTGATGAACTTCTTTCCCCAAATCGAGACTTGTATTTTATTGAATCGGTCAAATTGAGCATTATCCCTGCTTCAGACCAATTTGTTATTTCTACATATTGTAGATTTAAATGTCCTCTTTTGAATATTCATCGTTTAATTTGGGCAATATTTCTATATTTTTCATGAAAAAAATTATTAGCCCAGGAGACTGTTCTCCAAACCGAGAATCGTCCTTTACTTAAAGCTGATTGGAAAAAAGACAAATAAAAAAGATCACTGGGTCCAACACTACCCTTAATTATCTGAGAGCACTGGGTATGGCGTGAGTTGTTTTAAAAAAGAAAATTTTGTAATCAATCTTTTTCTTTTTAGCTTCATGAGAGATTGATATTCTGTGCTGCTTTAGTTCATAAGCATAGTTACATTTGTTAATTTGACTTCGATCAGGATATCAAATTGTAGGAAGTCTTATTATGATTTGACTCAATAATAGAGTGACTAAGAGCATTCAATTATACAGTATAAATAAAAAAGTCTGAAAATAAGTAATGCAAATCATTAAGTCATTATTCTCCATTTCAGATTGTAGACAACTTTGCCAAGGAGAGGACATGAGGACAAGTAAATGAGAGCAAAATGTCAGTAAATGAAAGCAAAATATCTGTGGATGAAAGCAAAATGTCAGCAAATGAGAGCATGTTAACAGAAGAAGAAATCAAAATGTTAGAGTTTGAAATAGAAAATGTTGTATTTTACCCACCGAATGAAGAGGAACAAAAATCAAAATCAACCAAAAATATCAATATCGATATTGAAAAAAATCTTGGAATAAAAAGTAAAATGAACAAAGTGAGTGACAACAGCATGAAGTATGAAGAAAAAAGAAATATAGATGAAATAACTAAACTTCGAGACAACTTAGTTGAAGTAATCAATGCCAAAGACATTGAAGGATTCACAACACATATTGAAGAATACAAGAAATTAAATGAAGATGGGATTGTATCAAGTATTGGTGATCCAAGACTGTGTGTTTTTGAGGAAACAACTTTGCTCAGATTGGCAGTCATACAGCAATTTAATGAGGCTGCTATAGCTCTTCTTGAACTAAGTGATAAAGCAACAATTTTCAAAGAACATACAAAAAATTTAGAATTCACCGGTGGAAATGTTCTACATGATGCAATCACTAACAATATGAAAAACATTGTTAGACTTCTTTCTGGGAAGGTCACATTGGAAGAATTCCATGCCTTAATGGGCAGTCAAGCAACTGGGACCTTCTTCAAGGACTACTTTCAAGGTTATGAGCTACCATTGGTGATGGCATGTTGGGTTGGAAATTTTGAGATGGCGAAGTTACTACTCCAGATAAATCCACGGGGAATATACCTCAAAGATACTAATGGAAATAATCTGCTTCACAGCCTCATTCTCATGTGCGATGAAGAAAACGAGGAAGTGACAAACTTCACAACAATGATGTATATGATGATTTACGAAGCAGAAGGGGGAAATGTAGCTCTGCAGTATATGTTAGAAATGACAGACAACAACAATCAGACACCAATGATTTTAGCGATCAAAAAAGGAGAGTTCAGATTTGTCCAACTGATCCTCAACACTGTATATAAGGAAACAGTAGGCAAATACGGACCTGCATCATTCGTAAACTTTGACATCACAGAAATTGAGCAGTGTCCAGATATAAAAAAATCGAGCCTATCAGGAATTGTATACTTAGGTACATCCTCAAATTGTAAACGCTTTCCTCAGTTACTAAGCCTGCAACCCTGGGATAGATTGCTTAAACTTCGCTGGGATGCATATAAATGGAATATGTGTGCATCAATGCTGATGCAGTTTGTTATGCTAATTTGGTTTGCTGTTGTGATGGCCATCACACCTTCAAATAAAGAATTAGCAAACATACATAATGCTACTGATTTGGAACGACTTGCTACAAATGAAAGCAGAGAACTCACATTTTTTGAGCAACGTGGCTATTTTGGAACAGGTGGCATTGCTCAATTCATAGGGGAGTGTCTTTTTGTCTTGTATGGAATGACAGGATTCATCTCTGAAATCATCATAATTTTTGCTTTAATCATTGGATTGAGAGTCAAGGGGAGGCTGACATTTGATGAGATGTGGCGGAGACTATTTAACCCAGTTACCGGGTCTCTGTTATATGCACTTTTAAATGTCATCTTTTATATGAATATGGTTTTCACATTCATATTCAATGCTGCCGATCTCAGTCACTCAAAAAATACAAGTGCAGCAATATCGATTATATGTGGATTCCTCTTCTTGACTTTCTTTTACCGAGCTTTCGACTACACATCCTTCTTTACAGCCACTGTCAACAAAATGCTATTTGGTGATGTTTTTCGATTCCTTGTTATCATTACCGGGTACCTTTTTGGATTTGGAACAGCGTTTTACATTTTGTATAAAGATACAGTTGGAGGACCACCAATTGATATGGAGAATTACCAGGAGTCAATCATAACTACATATAAGCTGATGCTTGGGCTTGTTGATTTGAAAACAATGAAGGTGGAATATGAAGGCATTTTGGTGGCCTTTTATATAATATACACTATACTTATGACTGTTATGTTGTTTAACATGCTCATAGGCATCATGGCAAATACCATTAATGACACGGCTGAACAGAAACAATATCTCAGTAAACTACAGCGTTTATCAACAATACTCATTATAGAGTTTACCCAGTGCTGGTCTAAGGGTTTTGCATCTGGAGCAATCAAGAAAGGCAAACTTAAAATAAAGACCAAGATATTTGCTGGGAAAGAACAGAAAAGATTGTTTCTTCAATGTATGGAGGTTGAACATAATGAACGGTTTTGTTTTTCGAAAGACTCAAAAAATAAAAAATACAATGTGTTGAAGAACTTGAAGACACCCTTCTGAGAAAGGAATAAATGCTATAATTGACTATGAAAGAGACATTGGTGATTCTTGTGATCACATGATATTAGACTATGTGTGGAAATTATCAAATTGTTCAAAGTTGGCCTCATTTTTGCTATATTTGTTTTATCAATTTGATTTAAATGGAATTGAGATATAATATACAGAAGCCGTGTATTTTACATATACTTCAGTCACTAGATGTCTCAACTCTCCTAAATCAAACTGCTAATAACCTTATATGAAATACAAGTGAAAGTATCAGGCTGTATGTTTGTAGTTTCTATCAAATGGGCTTATTTATACATAATTAGAACCAATAAAATTGCATGTACAGGGTGATCCAGAAGTAACGTCAAAGATGTTGTAATTTCAAAAGTATTCATCAGATCTTCATGAAATTTGGTATACATGTACCCACAACATTTCTGAGTTACCATCTCAAAGATTGGAATTCAATCATTTCATTGGTTGAAATTATGGTTGCTATAGTAACCCGATATCGCGTAACCCGGGGCAAATTACTTAACGTGTAATGCGTAATCTCAAAATATCAACAAGATCTGAAATTGTTATATCCTCAACATTTTATTTCACAACAATATAAATCATACTATTGCACAGTTACTAATAATAGTTCATTCTACATAATTGCCACCATTTGCAACACATTTTTCATGTCTGGATACCCATTCCTTGAACACAGAATTAAATCCATTAGAACTCATTCCTTGTAGGGCTAGTACTACGGCATTTTTCAATTCCTCACAGGATTGAAAATTATTTCCACTAAGGTTTCTTTTTAGTTCCCCATACAAATAAAAGTCACTGGGGGCAAGATCAGGTGAATAAGGGGCATGTTCAAGTTGTTGAAATCCAAGTGTTTGGACTGTGTTGCTGGTCAGGATTGCAGTGTGCGTAGGGGCATTGTCCCAATGCAAGATAAACTGCTGCAGATGTCCGGGACGCTTTTTCCTCAGGGAACGTTGAAGATCACGCTTCAGAACCTGAAAAACAAATGTTTAATGGTTGTTAAACCAGTTGTTTCATTGATTGGATTTGGATTTGAATCATGGCCATGGAGTTATAATTATATTGACAGCGAACAACATTTAAATACTTTAATTTAAAAATAAAATTCACAGTATGATGTATTATTAGAACAAATGATATCTTACCTTTGCAATGTAAACGGCATTAATTCTCTGGCCAATGGGAACAAAATGGGTTAACACCATTCCTCTAATGTCAAAGAATGTCACAACCATTTGTTTCTTTTGTGGAATTCCTGGTACTATTTTAGGCTTGGTTGGTGTTGGGGAGTTGTCATGTTTCCACGATGAACTTTGTTGCGTGGTCTCTGGGATGTAGAATGATAGCAATGATTCGTCACTCGTAATGATCTTGTTAAGAAAGTCATCTCCATCTCTCCGATATTTTGCAAGAAAGTCCCTTGAAGCCTTAACACACCGGTCTTTCTGCTCCTGTGTCAAGTCATGCGGCACCCATTTAGCAGACACCTTCTTTAACAGACAGTTCTTTGTCAGTATCCGTTGCACAGTCCCATAGCTCAGATCGTGTTTTTCAGCCAATTCTCTGATAGAAATTTGCCTATTGTCCATAACATCAGCTTCAATTGCTTTGATGGTTTGATCATCGAATGACGACACTGGCCTGCCTCCTCGCTGCTTGTCTACCACTTCATCATATCCACTGGAATACTTGTTAAACCACCTGTAAATGTTTCTCTCAGCAATGGCAGCTTTACCATATGCCTTCTTTATCTGTCTTATAGTCTCTTTTACACCTTTCCCCAACTTTACACAGAACTTAATGTTTGTTCTTTGCTCTATTTTACTCTGACTTGGCGCCATCTTGAATTGGGTGGGTTAGTGTCCTTGGTCATGTTAGTATTTGTCATGGATGATGGAAGCAATTCAAAGAAATTGAAAGCTTTTTATGAATGCCTATTGTGACATCACAACTATTACATATTTGTTACCATGGCAACAAATATAAAAATCATAGAAAACAAACAATGAACATTTTCAAATGTTACTGACTTTTTAAATTAGAGAAATTCACAAAAACGTTATGGTTTCTCTTCAATTTGCCCCGGGTTACGCGATATCGGGTTACTATAGCAACCATAATTTCAACCAATGAAATGATTGAATTCCAATCTTTGAGATGGTAACTCAGAAATGTTGTGGGTACATGTATACCAAATTTCATGAAGATCTGATGAATACTTTTGAAATTACAATGTCTTTGACGTTACTTCTGGATCACCCTGTAAATATATTCTTAATACATGTAAATATATTCTCAAACCTAAATAAGACAAAGATTAGCAAATGAATGAATCACAGAAAGAGAAAGTTCATTCTGAATAGAATCAAATTTTGAGTGTGACATCTTAGCTCCATCAAGGGGTGAATCCAGTTTAGAATATTTCAAGATAATGTGAATCAATATTTTGTGATTCCTTCTAGTTCTTATGTTAGTTATGTAAATCAAATGATTTAAATGTAAAAAAGATAGGAAGTTATTATACAAAGAGAAATATGTAAATAAAGCATTAATATATATGTATCTATTTGTAATAGAAGTATAAGATTTAAATTAAAGATGTGTAAATGTCTGCCTTATTTGTTGTACAAATAAACATTGTATATATTGTGTTATAACTGCATGTTGTCTTCTTTTCAAATCATCAACTTGAAACCAGTGCTGCATCACTAGCAAGACAATGAGTAAACAATATTGCAAATTGAGTGGTGTTTTTAACTGTTTGACCAGTAGTGAAAAAGAGAAATATATATATTCCAGAGACTACTGGGCATGGGTTAATCACTTGCAAATTGTAATTATATGACAATATATGACAATGACCTCGGTAAAGCAAACTTTGTCACTTGAATATATATTTTTCAAAATTTCAAAAAGAGCCAAATAATTCTGAAGGGCGATGTATCTGATGAGTTAATTTTGCTGCTATTGTAGATTCTATTGGAAAATCAAAATTATTTATAATTGTTTATAATTGGACCCTGCTTTCTACATTTTGCATGCCAAGATTTGATTATGGAACATTATTTTTGATTAATTATCAGTCTAGTGGTTGGAATATAAAGACTCTAGATTGATTTAGGCAATGTTGCATGTTCCATGCATTAGCAACATAAAACACTGCACTTTCAAAATAATGATAAAAATTAGAATATCTGACATGTCATTGGCTTTGTCAAAATATATTCAATCTTCTGTCATGAAGACAATCATAGAGTAATTTAGACAATCTTGAAATATTTTGAAATTGAATATTCTTTCAATTACAAAACATGGCTCATAACTTCTGACAATAGACAAACTTCATGAAAACAACAGGCAAAACTAATTAAATTTAAATGTGACCATTGAAATACAGTGAAGCCTGCAAAGTGGGACAATTCTAAAAGAGAGACACCTCTTTAAGTGAAACCAAAGTAGTTAAGTAGATAGTCCAAAGACTAAATAACTTAACAATAAATGAACCTTAATAAATGGAACACCTCTTAATTCGAACAGTTTTAGAGGTACAAAATGTGTTCCACTTAGACAGGTTTTACTGCTGTAAATAAAAAATTCCTTGGAACAGGTGGTTTTGGTTAAAAGCTTTCTAAATCCTGCTGGTTATAAACCCCCAAAGGTTCAATTATATATAATGTTATACCTTATTCATGAATGTTCAATTATATACGTATGATGTTATACCTTATTCATGAATGTTCATTAATCAAGTTTTTTTAATTATAGAAAACTTCATGTACATGTTACCTATTCTATATTTATTCTATGAAACTCTTATTGCATTAATAAATAAATGACAGAAAAAAGAAATTATTTTGTCTATCTAATGTTATACCTGTTCATAGAGATCAATGAGTTTCTGGTCGGGAAGTTTGAGCGACTGTATGGCCTGAAGCACTGTATCCCAGTGTCCATTGTTGATGTCTGATATGAAACTGTCAACTGAATCAACAGTGTTCAGTGATATACCACTTTCCTCTTGAAGGACAGATAATGTTCGCATCAAGTTGCTCTCTTTTAGATATTGCTCTATCAAACGCACAACACTGAAAGTATTAAAAGTACAACATACAGTATGTATATGAAATGGGATTGTTGTTGTCTAATGGCATTATTTCAAATTCAAAATAAAATAAATGGAAATGGAGTTTTTGTGTGAAACCATGAAATGACAATGAGTGAAACTGAATGAATCGATACTTCTGTAAATATGCTATATGATTGGATAAGTAGATCTATATTATATAGATGTCACTTGTGTTGAATAACACTTACACACCATCTATTGATTTTGATGAGGTTCACAAGCAACCCAGAATTCATATTAATCATCATAACACAGTTGATTTTTTGTTCTTACATATATTACAAGTGAGCTTTTAGTGGATATTATATCAGTTGTGGGATTTCAGCCAACTTCAAATGAAAATTGCTGACCAGTGTAAAATTGTTGGATGGATAGTCACAGGATTGGGTAGAAAATTCCATGTTCTGACACAGTGAGTTTGAGTTCAACTATCAGCATAGTCTCTGATGTACATTATGTGACTCATATGCCCAAATATCATATCATCACATATCATCACAATACCGACAATATTGTGTTGATATGATATTTGGGCCAATATCGATATTGAAACTCAATAGCATAAAAATAAAGTTGTATGACAATGCTGAATACAACCAAAGTAATAAAAAGTCTGGTACAACAGTGATAATGTTAAATACAATCAACAAGTCTGGTACAACCATGTCAATGCAAAATAGAAACAAAATGTCTGCTACGACAGTGACAACGTTAAATACAATCACAAAGTCTGCCCTTAAGAAAAAAGCCATGGTAACCATAGTATTCCATGCTGAGTCCATGGTAATCCATGGTATTCCATGGAAATTATTGGTTTTTCATGGTATTTTCCATGGAATATCATGGACATCCATGGTAATATTCCATGAATATTTACTAGGGATGGGACGGTTTGTTTCGGTTCGGTTTTTTCGGATCATCAGCCGTCGGTTCGGTTTTTTCGGTTCAGTTCATTCATTTTAAGGATTTGTATTGATTGACATGATTAGCTGCTTTTTTTTTGAATTTGAGATCCAGACCCCATATTTGAATGTATTGTGGGTGCGCACAAAATAATACCCTATATCGAACCTGCGCAAATATAAATTTGCGCAAATCTTTGTATCAATTATGCCACGTTATAACAATATTTTAAAGATGGAATTTTATGTTATAGTATTTCATGAACAATACATATTATTTAGAATACACGACTAAAGAATATAGTACCAGGGACCACATGATTGATTACCGAGGGATACGAATACGCGGATACGAAACGAATCTAGTAAACGAGTGAGCTAGCAACAGACAAGACAGACAAGGTAGGGACTAGGAATATCAAAAATGTTGCTGTGAAACAGTGTTTTTAATTGTTTTATTGATACTTGACCAATGAAATATTAATCCGAAAACGATCCGAAAAGCTGATCCGAAAGTAGGGCCGTGATCCGAAAACCGATCCGAAGGCTATGAACAGCGGTTTTTCTGTATTTCGGTTATCCGTCCCACCCCTAATATTTACCATGATTTTCCATGGTAATAAGTGGTTTGTTAATTGGTTTTCCATGGTTTTTCATGGACATGGAATGGTTTTTATCATTACACATGGAGTTGTAAAATAGTTTGTTCGCTAGGATTTGCTATCACGTAACTTTAACATGGAGCACAAAACTAATGAAGTCCTTTATAAGTAAAACTAATTGCTCAGAGGTAGAAAAGACAAAATAAGTATAAAATCAGCTCACCGTATTCTCTTATTGCAGAGGCAAGATAATTTTTTTACATATAGTAAATCCTATTTGTTTTTATTTGATTAAGAATGATCTTTTTGACATCAGAAGTAGATAACTGGGCCAAACTGCTTTGGTTAGATCTAATCCATGATTGTCGACAATGGAAATATTAATAATCGGCAATGATTAAAAAAATAACACCATGGTCGAAGTAACCCCACAACGATTGCCACAATTGTACCAGAACCTTATCCCATGCCAGGACTATGGTCCTGTACGGAGCGCATTCTTTTGCCTGTACGATTACAACTTGGGAGAATTATCTACGCCCTTAAACTTAAGATACCTACTTCAATAGATTCCTTGGTATTTTAGCATTCTTTTTTTGTGTAGTTGAATCCACAATTGTCTGGGTATATCGGCAGAACAGGAACATTTTTCTTTTTCATCAAGAGAGATTCCATCACTTTTCAAGATGGCGGTTGGATTTAAAAGGGGATTCCCCGTTTGACTGGCCTGGATATGGGCCGGAAGTACCTATACATGGGGGAATTTGACGGTTGAAATAAGTTAATATTACATGCAAATATTGTGATCAAAAACTTTTTTTGCTCTGCCGATAAACCCAGACAATTGTGGATTCAACTACATGCTAAAATTCCAAGGAATCTATTGAAGTTGGTATCTTAGACTAGTGTAAGAAGCGTAGCAAATTCTCCCATGTTGTAATCGTTCAGGCAAAAAATTGAGATGTTCTCAGGACTATAGTTCTGGCACGGGATAACCAGAACCTATATGTAAACATGAGATCAGCATCTGCTGATCGCATGGACCACAGACAAGGGAACAAGAGTTCATCCCCTCCCACTCACTATGTATTAGGTAGAAAAAAGACTCCTATCTGGAAATATATGCCTCTACTCTAATTGCTCATATCTCTGTCACTGAGTTGTGTCACGCATTATCTTTTGTCTCAACGCAAGGTGAAGACATTAAATCGTATTTATGGTAACTCACCAATTCTTAAATCAGCATAATTGTGCGGATAACATTGGAAATGGGACGAAAAAACGATCACTTTTGAAATCACGACATCTCGACGGCCATTAACTGCGACCTCTATAATATCCACAACGAGTGTCTCATTATTTTAGGAATTGTATTTTTATAATTACGATTAAAAATCTCAATTCTAGTATTTAGATATATTTGTGGTGATGCTATGACCGTATTGTAGTATTCTCGGTATATTTTAAATAGTATATCCTATACTATTAGCTTTTTTTGATTTTAAATAAAAAAATCGTTGTGATTTTCCCGCCAAAATTCATGTCGAAGAAATGATCATTCGAATAATCCGGCCGTTAAAAATCAAAACTTTGTAGGTTTTTAATTCAAAAAAATTGAAAAACCAATAAATAGGTATAAGAATGTTAAATTAATTGTGTAATTTAATTAAATAATATTAATTAATAACTGCTGTGATTTGATTGGTCGACTGCAGAGACATCTTTCAAGTAAACAAGATGGCGAGTGGATGTCAATTTGTCGTGACCGTGGGTTGCTCGGTAAAAGCCAGCTGGACACAAACCCTAGTGATAGACAGCTGTTAACAACCAGATTGTTTCGTCGATAAGATATTTATATACATAATCTGAGAATTTTAGAGAAGATCATTGGACATATGGTGAGATTCAGCTGTTAGAGAAGAGAATTGGATGTTTACGAAGTGAGCCTCAGTGCTTGCATTAAGTTAGAAAATTTGTGAGTCCCAAGGACGCAATTTTTTTTAAAAAGTGTGTCCTTTGAAAAAAAGTGTGTCCCCTATTTTTTATTTTCCATTCGGGAATGTATGTTCTAACCTTACTTGACATATTTTCAGTTTTTGATTTCTTGCCGCGAATTTAAAACGGAAGTAAACATTGGTACAAACTGAATAAATGCATGTTCGTTCATTCGACAATGAATACATTTTATTTCATGAATAACCTAATATTTGTTTCTGAATAGGAAAAACTGTGGCGTGTCATGGTTTCAAATCTAAAAATAAACAAAGTCGAAAAAATTCGAGAGAATCATGATTTTTTGTAAATATTCAACATGTTGAGCCTTATTTACGATTCAAATAAAGGTGAGAGATCATAATTATTTGTTTTTGTTATCGTTGTAAACACATTGTAGTATTGACCTAAAAAAAATTTGCGTCCAAAAAACAGAAATATTTTCAATTTTTGCGTCCTCCAAATTATTTTTGAGTCCTTACATGTACGGGACGCCGTTAATGCAAGCCCTGGAGCCTGTATTTTTTTACATAGCTATACAGTGACTGGGGATGGGGGGGTTTAAATCTTCCTGTGGCATGGACAATTTTGTAAAGAAAAATACAAATTTTAAAAATTATGTTACGAACATTTGAAATAAGCATCTGCACTGAAATTGCACTAAATGAAGATATATGTCTGTTTATTGGTAAATTTTTTATCATCAACGTTTCAAATAAGTTATAATATGTATAAAATGGTAAAAACTTACTCTGTGGATTCAATTTCGACTGCCATATTTGAAATCTCGCAAAATCTCGTTGAGGGAAAAAATCACGTGATCTAAAAATGGAGGACAAATTTTTTTTTTCAGAATTTGTTTAGATCCAGATTTTATTGATATCGACAGAATGGTGAGTTTAATTATTTGTTTTGTCAAGTTTTATTTCACGAGACAATGCTAAGATTACAATTACATCATTGATAGGTCTGAAACAAGGCCAGTTTTTCTTCTTTATCCAATTATCCTAAATCAGTTCACTCTGTAAGGTTATTGTGTCACTGACTTTCAAGTTTCAGTCAGTTGCATGGCCCAACCGTTACAGTGTTATTAGGTTTCGCAAGGATCCTGGCGCCCTCTACATGCTATCGGTCATGACAGGCCAAGCAATATAATATAACATTGTCACTGTTTTATCAGGCTTTCACGATAACACTACCGTGGTCATGGCAGGATCCCTGCGCAAATTAAAAACACTTGGTGACGGTTGTGCCAGGCATAAGTCTTGCTACAGATAGGGTCTCGTTTCAGATTGATTATCACCTCATACGCTTCAAAGGCAAGCAGTTAAACCTGAAATATATAAGAAATCTAAATAATATTGTGCAATAATACATGTATATAGAAAAATATATTCATATTGCACACGAATTGACATTTGTATATGTTGGATTGCTTGTAAATTGGCTCATAAAGTCTGTAACCTCTTATATTTTGATGCTTCTCTACCATGTTAATTCTCAAAAAAATAACATGGCGGACAGACCTCAAATTACAAGAGGTCACAGGCTTATTGCACTAAGCACTAAATAATCTGAAATATATACAAATGTCATTCGTGTGCAATATGAATATATTTTTCTATATATAATGGCACAATGGTCTATAGATTTCTTATTTTTCAGGTTCAACTGCTTGCCTTTGAAGGAGTGTAACAGACTGTAGTCAAAGACAAAGACTTGCTTAAATCAAACTGCAATTACTGTGTCAAAGTACATGTAAGCATTAGGTATACAGCTGGAAAATCATTTGGGAAAAATTGTAATACATGTACCTGCATGTTATTTTCTGGTAAGAAATTAAGTATGAAGACAAGTGTTAATTTCCTTGCTTTTTTCAGGAAAGTATCATTACATTGTCTTCTTATAGGAAATCTGGTAAGATGTCTATGGGAACTCCAGGAAATTCTGATATTTCACCTTTCTATTTTTCCAAATTTTCTTTTAAAGTTTGGACAACTTAGGAGCTACCATTTACCTATTTCCAGGTTTACTAAAAGTAAGACAATGTATCAAGATACAAACCTAATATGTTTTATAACAATTAACATGTTCATGTTATTTAAAATGAGGAGGGGGGCATACTTCTAGTCTGAAAAAGATTTCTGCACTTGCTTATATTAAGGCCACTATAAGGCTGCTAGGCCCTAGCCCCACCCCCCAGATCTACCACTGTGAAACTCCCTTGATAACAAAAGACCAAATGTTTACTGCACATAAAACTGATTAATTTGTCAGTTACCAAAGCTTTGTATATAGTATATGAATGCATGTATGAATGGTCCTTTAACTGCTTATTTTTATTTTTAGGTTTGATTGACATGCAGAAAAAGTTATTTAGACCATAGATACAGTTCTTTGGCTTTACAAGTGAGAGATGACTTCTTCAAAGGCATCTATAATGAACCTTATAGAGAGGCGTCTCAGTCTTGCCTTCAGAGAACTCAATGAGATGCCAGATAACTTGGTACAAAAGCATGGTCTTTACCTTGAGGAACTTGATATCAGTAACAACAAAATCACATATCCTTTTAAAATATGTGCACATAATTGTTTAAATCAATGCTGATACAGATTACGACAGAAGATGTTTTTCAAGAAAAACAAAGAAACCAAAACATTCTGCAAGATGTGCACTGCAGTAAAATAGGAATTTCACATATACTGTAGCACCTACATGTACAGGGTGTCTCAAAAATTGTTCCCAAATTAAATGGGAATAACTTTTTTCCTTCATTGAAAAATGTTGAACTAATTGCACATGATCATGTACTTTCAAGACATGACATGATCAAGAGAATTCATTTTCCAATCAGTAGTTTAAACTTCTTAGAAAATTTACATGATGTGCACTTGGTAACTTCCATCACAATTATTGAATACAATTTCAATGGATGATTGTTCTAAAACAAATTTTTCTCAAAAACTAAATTGAATTACCTGGTGAAATGATATGATAATCAAACTGTGTGTCAGATTACTTCATTTCAAAAATATTCCTTCATCAATTGATCTCAGGGTTATTTTATGTTATGTTTGTCTCTGTATACAATATAGTTTGAAACATAGATTGGGTGATGGTACCAAAACAAGCTTTTCACTTAAATTAAACACAGTTACTTGGTTACATTCCCAGATCTTTATGCTAATACTAAGTTGTCTGTCAGAAGACCAGATTTCAAGGGTTTTCCCTTTTCCTTACAGAGTTACTTTTTGTTTCTGTACAATTTCTTTTGGGACACCCTGTATGCATTATATCCAGGTTCCAGTATGTATTGAAGGATGTACCTACATCCCAGTAAGATGTGATACCGACTAAAACTTCTTAGAGTAACAGTTAGGTTAATCCTACACACTTTAATTCATTGAAGGTAGAAGTACATAGTTACTGGACAATCCAAAGTTCTATTCCTTAACTGATCTAACAGATTACAGGTTTTTGTTAGAACTGCCCAAGCTTACAACTCTTATACTGGACAGCAATGGACTGCAATCTCATGTAAAATTCCCAACTCTCTCTACATTATCCACATTGTGGGTGAACCATAACAGAATCAACAACTTGGGTAAGAGGAAACCCCATGTGTTTTTAAATGCCACTTAATTTGATGTGTATATAGTAAAACATGTATCATATCAGAGCAATTAATACATTCACAGTTTCTATCAGTCTCAATTTTTTATTTTCCATTAATTCACTTGTTAAAAAACCTTGAAATGAACATCTACTACGTTGAAACAAACATCTACTATGTTGAAATGAAAATCTACTACGTTGAAATGAAAATCTACTACGTTGAAACGAACATCTACTACGTTGAAATGAACATCTACTACGTTGAAATGAACATCTACTACGTTGAAATGAAAATCTACTACGTTGAAATGAAAATCTACTACGTTGAAACGAACATCTACTACCTTGAAATGAACATCTACTACGTTGAAACGAACATCTACTACGTTGAAATGAACATCTACTACGTTGAAATGAACATCTACTACGTTGAAATGAACATCTACTCCTTGAAATGAACATCTACTACGTAGAAACGAACATCTACTACGTTGAATTGAACATCTACTACGTTGAAATGAACATCTACTATGTTGAAATGAACATCTACTACGTTGAAATGAACATCTACTATGTTGAAATGAAAATCTACTACGTTGAAATGAACATCTACTACGTTGAAATGAACATCTACTACGTTGAAATGAACATCTACTACGTTGAAATGAACATCTACTACGTTGAAATGAACATCTACTACATTGAAATGAACATCTACTATGTTGAAATGAAAATCTACTACGTTGAAATGAACATCTACTACGTTGAAATGAACATCTACTACGTTGAAATGAACATCTACTACGTTGAAATGAACATCTACTACCTTGAAATGAACATCTACTACGTTGAAATGAACATCTACTACGTTGAAATGAACATCTACTACTTTGAAATGAACATCTACTACATTGAAATGAACATCTACTACGTTGAAATGAACATCTACTACGTTGAAATGAACATCTACTCCTTGAAATGAACATCTACTACGTTGAAACGAACATCTACTACGTTGAAACGAACATCTACTACGTTGAAATGAACATCTACTACGTTGAAATGAACATCTACTACCTTGAAATGAACATCTACTACCTTGAAATGAACATCTACTACTTTGAAATGAACATCTACTACGTTGAAATGAACATCTACTACGTTGAAATGAACATCTACTATGTTGAAATGAACATCTACTACTTTGAAATGAACATCTACTACCTTGAAATGAACATCTACTACGTTGAAATGAACATCTACTACTTTGAAATGAACATCTACTACCTTGAAATGAACATCTACTCCTTGAAATGAACATCTACTACCTTGAAATGAACATCTACTACGTTGAAATGAACATCTACTATGTTGAAACGAACATCTACTACATTGAAATGAACATTTACTACATTAAAATGAACATTTACTACCTTGAAATGAACATCTACTACGTTGAAATGAACATCTACTACCTTGAAATGAACATCTACTACCTTGAAATGAACATCTACTACGTTGAAATGAACATCTACTACGTTGAAATGAACATCTACTACATTGAAATGAACATTTACTACATTGAAATGAACATTTACTACCTTGAAATGAACATCTACTACGTTGAAATGAACATTTACTACCTTGAAATGAACATCTACTACATTGAAATGAACATTTACTACCTTGAAATGAACATCTACTACGTTGAAATGAACATCTACTACGTTGAAATGAACATCTACTACCTTGAAATGAACATCTACTTCCTTGAAATGAACATCTACTACCTTGAAATGAACATCTACTTCCTTGAAATGAACATCTACTACGTTCAAATGAACATCTACTACGTTGAAATGAACATCTACTACATTGAAATGAACACCTACTACGTTGGAATGAACATCTACTACGTTGAAATGAACACCTACTATGTTGAAATGAACATCTACTACCTTGAAATGAACATCTACTTCGTTGAAATGAACATCTACCACGTTGAAATGAACATCTACTACCTTGAAATGAACATCTACTACATTGAAATGAACATCTACTACTTTGAAATGAACATCTACTACCTTGAAATGAACATCTACTACATTGAAATGAACATCTACTACTTTGAAATGAACATCTACTACCTTGAAATGAACATCTACTACCTTGAAATGAACATCTACTACGTTGAAATGAACACCTACTACGTTGGAATGAACATCTACTACGTTGAAATGAACATCTACTATGTTGAAATGAACATCTACTACGTTGAAATGAACATCTACTACGTTGAAATGAACATCTACTACGTGTAAATGAACATCTACTACGTTGAAATGAACATCTACTATGGTTGAAATGAACATCTACTACGTTGAAATGAACATCTACTACGTTGAAATGAACATCTACTACGTTGAAATGAACATCTACTACGTTGAAATGAACATCTACTTCGTTGAAATGAACATCTACTACGTTGAAATGAACATCTACTACCTTGAAATGAACATCTACTACATTGAAATGAACATCTACTACTTTGAAATGAACATCTACTACCTTGAAATGAACATCTACTACATTGAAATGAACATATACTACTTTGAAATGAACATCTACTACCTTGAAATGAACATCTACTACGTTGAAACGAACATCTACTACCTTGAAATGAACATCTACTACGTGTAAATGAACATCTACTACGTTGAAATGAACATCTACTACGGTTGAAATGAACATCTACTACGTTGAAATGAACATCTACTACGTTGAAATGAACATCTACTACGTTGAAATGAACACCTACTATGTTGAAATGAACATCTACTACCTTGAAATGAACATCTACTTCGTTGAAATGAACATCTACTACGTTGAAATGAACATCTACTACCTTGAAATGAACATCTACTACATTGAAATGAACATCTACTACTTTGAAATGAACATCTACTACCTTGAAATGAACATCTACTACGTTGAAATGAACATCTACTACGTTGAAATGAACATCTACTACATTGAAATGAACATCTATTACCTTGAAATGAACATCTACTACATTGAAATGAACATCTACTACCTTGAAATGAACATCTACTTCCTTGAAATGAACATCTTCTACCTTGAAATGAACATCTACTACCTTGAAATGAACATCTACTACATTGAAATGAACATCTACTACCTTGAAATGAACATCTACTACCTTGAAATGAACATCTACTTCGTTGAAATGAACATCTACTACGTGTAAATGAACATCTACTACGTTGAAATGAACATCTACTACGTTGAAATGAACATCTACTACCTTGAAATGAACATCTACTACGTTGAAATGAACATCTACTACGGTTGAAATGAACATCTACTACGTTGAAATGAACATCTACTACGTTGAAATGAACATCTACTACGTTGAAATGAACCTCTTCTACGTTGAAATGAACATCTACTACCCTGAAATGAACATCTACTACCTTGAAATGAACATCTACTACCTTGAAATGAACATCTACTACGTTGAAATGAACATCTACTACCTTGAAATGAACATTTACTACCTTGAAATGAACATCTACTACGTTGAAATGAACATCTACTACCTTGAAATGAACATCTACTACCTTGAAATGAACATCTACTACGTTGAAATGAACATCTACTACGTTGAAATGAACACCTACTACCTTGAAATGAACATCTACTACATTGAAATGAACATCTACTACCTTGAAATGAATATCTACTACGTTGAAATGAACATCTACTACCTTGAAATGAACATCTACTACCTTGAAATAAACATCTACTACGTTGAAATGAACATCTACTACGTTGAAATGAACATCTACTACGTTGAAATGAACACCTACTACCTTGAAATGAACATCTACTACCTTGAAATGAACATCTACTACGTTGAAATGAACACCTACTACCTTGAAATGAACATCTACTACCTTGAAATGAACATCTACTACGTTGAAATGAAAATCTACTACGTTGAAATGAACATCTACTACCTTGAAATGAACATCTACTACATTGAAATGAACATCTACTACTTTGAAATGAACATCTACTACCTTGAAATGAACATCTACTACATTGAAATGAACATCTACTACGTGTAAATGAACATCTACTACGTTGAAATGAACATCTACTACGTTGAAATGAACATCTACTACCTTGAAATGAACATCTACTACATTGAAATGAACATCTACTACGTTGAAATGAACATCTACTACTTTGAAATGAACATCTACTATGTTGAAATGAACATCTACTTCGTTGAAATGAACATCTACTACGTTGAAATGAACATCTACTACCTTGAAATGAACATCTACTACGTTGAAATGAACATCTACTCCTTGAAATGAACATCTACTATGTTGAAATGAACATCTACTACATTGAAATGAACATCTACTACGTTGAAATGAAAATCTACTACGTTGAAATGAACATCTTCTACGTTGAAATGAACATCTACTACGTTGAAATGAACATCTACTACGTTGAAATGAACAATTACTACATTTAAATGAACATCTACTACATTTAAATGAACATCTACTACGTTGGAATGAACATCTACTACGTTGAAATGAACATCTACTACGTTGAAATGAACATCTACTACGTGTAAATGAACATCTACTACGTGTAAATGAACATCTACTACGTTGAAATGAACATCTACTACGGTTGAAATGAACATCTACTATGTTGAAATGAACATCTACTACGTTGAAATGAAAATCTACTACGTGTAAATGAACATCTACTACGTTGAAATGAACATCTACTACGGTTGAAATGAACATCTACTACGTTGAAATGAACATCTACTACGTTGAAACGAACATCTACTATTCTGAACACAGTTCCAGTAGTGTTCATGTTTTACATGTTTTACATGTTCATTTAATTTACTTAATGGCATGTTTTGTATATTCCATAGGAGTATTCATAGGGACCATCTCCAAAAGCTTCCCAAACCTCAAGTTTCTCAGTATGATGAACAATGAGGCAGCCCCCAGCTACTTCAATGGAGGTTCATTTCAGCAATACTCAGATTACAGGTAGATATTTTTGATATTTTGTACTGACATCACATCAAGTCCTTGATGGTTCTTTGACCTTTATAATGTAGCATTCTGATTCAATCCTGGCCTCTTGTAGGAGAGGGACAAAATGAGCTTGAAGAAATATAAACTAGATTACCATTCCTATTGTATTCTATAACACAGGTGGAAGAGACAACAGATACATTGGCTTACCAGAATGTCTGGGAGTACCACAAAGGTCAAAATCTGAACTCATAATGAGCAATTTGCTCAAATGCATTGACCTATATACTAGTAGTAGTATAGTATAAATAATGTACAGGGTGTCCCAAAAAAGGAAACCAGCAATAGATTGCTTATTTCTCAAATATGAATAATGATAGGAAAATTTCACAGATACCATCTGATAGATTATGATGTTGTCTTTCTTATGATACCAAAGTTGTCTATTTTCCTTCACGGATGACTGAGTTATAAGGGATTTAAGTGACCATGTCAGAAATGAGTTTGTACCACTTTCAGCAAAGTCAATTTCACCATCATAACAAAGTGATAAGTAACAACAAACATCAGGATATCACTCTTTTACTCATTTATTCCAATTAAAATTACACATATCATATTTAACACCCTTTTTAAATCCTAATGTCCATTCAAAGTTGTTTTAACCCCAGTGTCCTTCATCATGACCCCCATTCCTTTCAATGCAAATGTCTGCCCTTGATCTCGTCGCACGTACTGCATCCCTGATGATGTTTCTCTGTCCCCTTAGATCCTCCACTGCTGCGACAATCCTGATGTTTTCATCAGACCGAGCTGTTCTTCTTCTTCCAGAACGTCCCTTGCTGAGATTGAGAATTGTTCCTTCTCTCTGATACTTCTTGATATTCTTCCAGATTGTCGACTTAGCAGGTACATTTCTATCTGGGAAGCGTACTCTAAATTGATCAGCAACCTGCTGAAGGCTCCCACTTCTGAGCCACTCACTTCCTACGAATACTCTTTGATCTTGGGTCAGCTGCATGAACTTGCTATGTTGAATGCTTGTTCAGAAATGTGTATTTCGAATAGGACATGGTCTTGCATAGCCATTTTAATCCCTCATTGTTCAGCCATTCATGACAGAAAAAGTGGCACAAACCAATTTCTGACATGGTCACTTAAATCTCTTAGAACTCAGTCATCCATGAAGAAAAATAAACACCTTTGGTATCATAAGAAAAAGGACATCATAACCTATCAGATGATAGCTGTGAAATTTTCCTGTTATTATTCATATTTGAGAAATAAGCAATCTATTGCTGGTTTCCTTTTTTTTGGAACACACTGTAGTACTATAATGTAGTAATATATAATGTAGTATTGTATATGCAATATATTGTATATTCTTATTCCCATTTCACTAAAATCTTTTAATTTACTTAAACAATATTATTACATGCATTGTTTCAGACATTATGTGATAAGCAGACTTCCCAAGCTGGAAATTTTAGATGATAAAGCAGTTGAGATCAACGAGAGAGAGGAGGCTGAGAGAATATATGGCAAACATGTTGAGCAACCAGTTATACAGGAGCATAAAAGGGTGAGGGTTTTAGAAATATGTACACATGTTCATAGTATGTAGTCTGGGACAGTAGTTCTGTGAATAAATAGGTTTTATTTGACAAAGACTGTTTATGACCATATCTTACATGTAATTGTAATATGGTATGGCATAGGTGATGATATTCAATGTTTCTGTTAGTGCCAGCCATATACTCTTAACATGTAAATCTTTGGATATGTTTGATTCATAATGCTTTAAATTGTATTTTCAGAGATCAAAGAAGAAGAAACAAACCCACATTACTTGACCTTTTATGTTTATTTCTCACAAAGTGGATCAATGAACTCATACTCTGCACTAGAATGATGAACTTGGAATCTGCACTAGAATGATGAACTTGGAATCTGCACTAGAATGATGAACTTGGACTCTGCACTAGAATGATGAACTTGGAATCTGCACTAGAATGATGAACTTGGAATCTGCACTAGAATGATGAACTCATACTCTGCACTAGAATGATGAACTTGGAATCTGCACTAGAATGATGAACTCATACTCTGCACTAGAATGATGAACTTGGAATCTGCACTAGAATGGTGAACTCATACTCTGCACTAGAATGATGAACTTGGAATCTGCACTAGAATGGTAAACTCATACTCTGCACTAGAATGATGAACTTGGAATCTGCACTAGAATGGTGAACTCATACTCTGCACTAGAATGATGAACTTGGAATCTGCACTAGAATGGTGAACTCATACTCTGCACTAGAATGATGAACTTGAAATCTGCACTAGAATAATGAACTCATACTCTGCACTAGAATGATGAACTTGGAATCTGCACTAGAATGGTGAACTCATACTCTGCACTAGAATGATGAACTTGGAATCTGCACTAGAATGGTGAACTCATACTCTGCACTAGAATGATGAACTTGGAATCTGCACTTGGACTAAAAAAATACATTTTTGAGAAATGTGGTTAAGGTGGGAAAGATAGGATGAGTTTGGGTCGGTTTGCTATGACGTTAGAAAGTAAGCCTTTGTGTCAAAGGTGATTCTTTTCTACTTCTCCTACCTTAAACCACCTCTTTGCCAAGAGTTATACATGTATGTTTGTATACATTATGGAAGGCAGCCTGAATTCAAACTTCACACAGTTTTTCATATAGGACATTTTCTATGATATATTATGCAATATACCTTTACAGGACTTGTATCAAGTTTCTGGTCTCATCAAGATGTCCTCTCTGTTTTTGGCACTATTTGGCTGAGGCTTTTATATGACTGGTAGCACACTTTATGTACATATCGGGGGTGTAACATATATAATTAATTGAATGGGGTAGAAGACTTGGCACTATTTGGCTGAGGATTTTCTATGACTGGTAGCACACTTTATGTACATATCGGGGGTGTAACATATATAATTAATTATCCCATCGAACGAAGTTCGGAGGGATATAGGGAACGCCTCCATCCGTATGTACGTCCGTCCGTCGTCCGTCCGTCTGTCCGTCCGTCCGGGCAATAACTCAAATACCTTTGGCCCGATTTTGTTCATATTTTGTACACATATACCCTATGGGGTTAGAAGTTCTGCTCGAAAGCCGATTTTCAAAAGGGCCGCTCATTTCAAAATGGCGGCCATTTTAGTGCCGATTTTACAGTTATTTAGGTGCAATATGTAAAACTGTAATAACAATGTGTTTTAAATGTAAAAAAATTATAAAGGACATTAATAAAGCTACAAATGTAGATATTAAAGAAGCACATGTCAGCCATCTTGAAAAATGGCGGCCTTTACTCGTTATTTTACAATTTTTGCTGTAACTCGAAAAGTAGTGGAGCGATTTTGTTCATATTTGGTATGTGCTTACTATAAGCATTACACACTGTCTAAAGACACTTTTGGTAAGAGGCGGCCATTTTTCAAAATGGCCACCATTTTAACGTATTTTACTATAACTCGAAAAGTAGTGGAGCGATTTTGTTTATATTTGGTATGTGAATACTATAAGCATGGCACACTGTCCTATGACACTTTTGGTAGAAGGACGGACATTTTGAAAAAAAATTTTGAAAAATGGCCGCAATTTTAACATATTTTACTATAATTCGAAAAGTAGTGAAGCGATTTTGTTCATATTTGGTATGTGAATACTATAAGCATGGCACATTGTCTACTGACACTTTTGGTAAAAGGTGGCCATTTTGAAAAATGGCCGCATTTAAACGTATTTTACTATAACTTGAAAAGTAGTGGAGCGATTTTGTTCATATTTGGTATGATTCATATTTTAGATGTGAATACTATAAGCATGGCACACTGTCTAATGACACTTTGGGAAGTAGGTCGGCCATTTTGAAAAATGGCCACCATTTTTATGTTTTTTACTATAACTTGAAAAGTAGTGAAGCGATTTTGTTCATATTTGATATGTGAATACTCATGAGCCTTGCACACTGTCTCATGAGCGTTTTTACATTTTTTCCTATAGCCTAACTCGAAAAGTAGTGGATTGATTTTGTTCATATTTAATATATGTGAATACTTTAAGCATGGCACATTGTCTAATAAAACTTTAGGGAGTAGTCGGCCATTTTGAAAAATGGCAACCATTTTTTATGTGTGTTATTTTACAAGTACATGTGTGCGATTTTTCAAAAATTTCAGGGGCGTAGGAAGGTGTAAATTCAACACTACGCCAAAAATCCCGCCAAAAAAATATGAAACAATTGTGTCAATATTCTATATCAAAACGCCTATATTATGCTCGTAAAACGTCATTTTATGGTAACAGAGATTTCAAGCTTGCAATATTCACAACCTAAATGTGAACGGAAATACTTAAGCGATGCATTTGTATGGGCGATTGGTCATACGTATAGGTTGGCGTTTCGATTTCATATGCAAGCTTTAAATCCCCGATACCTTTTTAATGTGCTTTAAAATGTTTGAATGATTTTCATCATTTAAAATCACCTTGGGAAGCCTATCTTTTAAATCTCGACACAAATCATTCTCACTTTGCTAATATCTCGAACGATTGAGACGATCAATTTCCAAAAAACAATTAGAGATTTTTTAAGCATTTTCGAATAATTGAATTAAGATCTGAAGATATAGTATTGTCGGATTCCATCGTGTACCGTGCAATACAATACGTACAGATTAAAGAAACTAGTTTGATCAATTGATATTAAGAAACGCATTCGTGATCAATGAAACAAATAAATACACCCACCACAAACATGACAAAGGTCAAATCGAGGTCAACGTGACTTAGGGGATGCCAAAAAATGTTATAAAACAAGAATCTATTATTTGTCAAATGAAAAAAAACTAGGTTATCGCTTTTCTAGAACTGAAATCAATGGAACGTGTAATTGAATAATCAGCATTTTCAAGTTGTTTTTGTCTTTAACATCCATATTTCAAAAAGTACTACCAATAAGTGATTTAGTAAGAAAATAGATAATTGTTGACTTAACTATAATTTCGTGTCTATGATTTTGCATAGCAACGGAATATAAATCGATAGTGAAATTGAAAAATTGGGGTAGGGGAGAATAAAAATATATACATCTAAATTTAAAGAGGGTTCATCATTATAATTATATGATACCATAGTTAGCATAAGCATTACGGAAAATGCAGAAAAAATGTCAAAGGTATTCATCAAGTAGTTTTTGAAAAAAAACAGCTTTCCTCTCAAATTCGTGAAGAGAACGCGATTCACGAATATTTGGCGAAATTGTATTTATAAGACAGTCAATAGTGGCTCGATTTTCATGAAATAAAGCATGTTGGTAAGGGAATTCAATCTGTTAAATGATATTTGCCAGACAGACCAATAATGATATGGTATCCACAAAACATTTCTTTAGGCTAGTGTGCTCGAGATTACTTTTACAATTTAAACAATGAGAAAATATGACTAAAGAACATAGGAAAGTTAAAAAGTCTTTTTTATTCTCACTTTTCAACACTACGCACTGGCGTTTTGGCGTACATTGTTCCTACGCCACTGAATTTTATAGGTGGCTACTTTAAAACATATTATTTCTTCTGATGACAACTTGGCTAAGTGAGCAACCATTTTGAAAATGGTGGCCTTTCTGGTGTGTTGTTTTATGATATTTGCTATATATTTCGTTTGTAAAAATGCCAGCCATTTCTGTTCGATGGGATTCACTACGCTTTGGCGTTGCCGTTGTTCTGGTTGAATGGGGTAGAAGACTTGGCACTATTTGGCTGAGGCTTTTCTATGACTGGTAGCACACTTTATGTACATATCGGGGGTGTAACATATATAATTAATTGAATGGGGTAGAAGACTTGGCACTATTTGGCTGAGGCTTTTCTTTGACTGGTAGCACACTTTATGTACATATCGGGGTGTAACATATATAATTAATTGAATGGGGTAGAAGACAATTGGCACTATTTGGCTGAGGCTTTTCTATGACTGGTAGCACACTTTATGTACATATCGGGGGTGTAACATATATAATTAATTGAATGGGGTAGAAGACTTGGCACTATTTGGCTGAGGCTTTTCTATGACTGGTAGCACACTTTATGTACATATCGGGGATGTAACATATATAATTAATTGAATGGGGTAGAAGACTTGGCACTATTTGGCTGAGGCTTTTCTATGACTGGTAGCACACTTTATGTACATATCGGGGATGTAACATATATAATTAATTGAATGGGGTAGAAGAGACTTGATTCAAGATCATTTTTTTAAAACACTGAAGAACATTCAAATGCTCGAGTTGGTGTTGATTTACATTACAGCACAGCACAGTATATAAAAATGTGAGTATTGGAAAACTGTGAGTTCTGTCACCTTGCATTATACAAGATGACATATCTGGTATTTTAAAAAAGACTCAATCTATTATCATTTATAGTATGGATGCAATACAGAAGACAGTATGACTGCATATAGGAAGATAAACATCTATTGTAAATGTATCATATCTGTACAGCAATAACACGTGATTTAAATGTATTTTTCAACATTCCCACACTGTATAAGTTGACCATTTAATCTAAAAAAGAAAAGGGTCGTTTTAAACATGTAATGTGCTTATACAATTCATTAGACTCGGGTAGGCTTTCAATAGTTGATATTTTGCGATTGAATTGTCATGGCATTACACAGTTACACTCTACATGCAAACCGATAGAAGATTTTTATATGAAAATATTATACATCTAGGATGTCAAAAAATAACCTATTTACAATACTATTATATCCGTCAGATTGAAAGTGAATGATGCATATATTTATATCATGTATGTTACCATGGACATATACAGTACCTTGTCCTTTAAAGACAAACAGATTTTATGTGAATGATGCATATATTTATATCATGTGTGTTACCATGGACATATACAGTACTTGTCCTTTAATGACAGACAGATTTTATGTGAATGGTGCATACATTTATTTTATGTATG